GCATAGCATAGAATAGAATAGAATAGAATAGAATAGAATGCTTTTTGTTCTATTCTATTCCAAATTCTATTATTCTAAATATGGGCATTCTATCAATCTTTTCAACTTAAGTGTATTCCCCCAGAAGATGTCAGTTATTTCTGTAACAGACTTGCAGTCTGTGCACACAAATGTTGAAAGTGTTGTTTAATGTTTTACAGAGCTCTTAATTTTGGTGGAATTGGAGTTGTCATGGGTCATGAGCTAACTCACGCTTTTGATGACCAAGGTTGGTAAAAATAAATAAATAAATAAATAAATAATAAAGCAATTTATATTTCAGAGTATAATAATTGACTGGTTTCTTGCTAAATTGGTAAATCATTTTGCAAAGAGCAACTCAGCAGGAAAGTAATTTTCCATATTTTTGTCCAAAGGGAGGGAGTATGACAAAGATGGAAACCTGCGCCCTTGGTGGAAGAACTCTTCTGTGGAGGCCTTCAAGAAGCAGACCCAGTGCATGGTGGAGCAGTACGGCAATTACAGCATCAACCAAGAGCCTCTGAATGGAAGACACACATTGGGAGAGAACATCGCTGACAACGGCGGACTCAAGGCTGCTTACAAGGTCTGATGTATGATAGGGAGCATAACTCACTGAATAATTTCCGAATCTTTTTGAGGAGGATTTTATGCTAACCATGGAGAAAAATGTCTTTCTGTAGGCAGTGTAGTCAAAAAATGTCGGCGCAAGACAGCGTTTGGGTTATTATGGAAAGTTTGGACCATCACTGTTATGTTTCCCATGACAAAATTGTCAGATTGTATGTTTCCAAGGACCAAAAACTATCACACAGATCTGATGTTAATCTTCTGTGTTAGTTTATTTGTCAGGAGCGGGTGTGGGTCATGTCCATTAATCTGTATTGGAAAAAGTTGGTTGTCTGGTTTACAGTGAAGCCTGGAAATGCAACAGGTGGTTATGAGTGGCCTTGTCCGCCTCTGGTTACTTCTTCACATGCACACATTCTTTCCATGTAATGAAAGGTCATAAGCTATGAAGTAGATGAGCAAATCATATGGAAGTGAAAGCAACCCTGCATTAAGCAAAACATGTTCCCTATAGCAAAATAATACTACAAAGGACCTAAAGTTGATCTGCTATTTCCTTTGGTCTTCTGTATATAGTTGCACAGAAAAAAAAGTGAATGCATGTGTGTAACATGATCATTTCTTGCTTTGAAGGCTTATGTGAACTGGATCAAAAAGAATGGTGAGGAGCCCACACTGCCTGCCCTGGGAATGACAAACCATCAGCTATTTTTTGTAGGGTTTGCTCAGGTTTGTATCAATTTCAGTATATTCCTTCTTCTGATTTCATCAAACTGTCTACACTCTAATACTACTCATGCTTCTTCTTCATGTCTAAAAGCTTACTTTCAGACATGTTTTGAGATGTGAAAATACTCTGCTTGGAATATTAACTTGTGTCTGACATGGCTTTCCACAAAATACAAAATATATCTGCTCATTTTCCCCTCTTTAAAATATCCATTCATAGATTAGTTCTTTTCTAAAATTTAAATGTGGGACATAAGATGTCTCGTACTTCTCTGACAAGCCTGTTCCCAATGCATGTGTCCTGGAGGCTTCAAGTTTCAGGATCACACTTCTGCAAGTTTCATACTAAACTGTGATTGGCTCCAAAGTAGCTGTTATGTCACCAAATCATGCTCGGCTTGTGTAAAAGTATGAGCACAGGAACAAACTTTCAGCAGATGAATGTGAGCCTTCTAGTGTTGGAATCTGTGCTTTCATTGTTCTGCACAGTGAAGCCCAAACATTGTTGTCAATGAGCAAGAGGAAAAACACATGTTTGGCTAGAGGGATTTTGAGCTAAATATGAGAATAAAATAGGCCTGAACTAAGCCTTAACATAAATGTATCTTAAGAGGGAATTTAAAGTGACTTACTTTAAAACACTTACAGAGCTACAAATAGAAGAAGTTAATACCTGATTAATGTTTTAAAAAAGAGAGAGATTTTGAAGGATGATGTGGAAAAAAAATAGTTCTTTATTTTGTGTCTTTTCCCTCTGTTAACTCTTGCAGGTATGGTGCTCTGTCAGAACACCGGAGAGCTCACACGAGGGTGTAATCACAGATCCTCACAGTCCATCAAGATTTAGAGTCATCGGCACCATCTCCAATTCACAAGCATTCTCAAAGCACTTTGACTGCAAAGCAGATGCTCCCATGAACCCTAAACATAAGTGTGACCTTTGGTGATGCCTCATTTCTCAGGCTGTTTTTCAGCAAAGAGTGAAACGGACATTGGAGAAACTAGCTTGAGATACTGACAAAGTCTCTTCAGACGGGAATGCAAGAACCACTGAAATGCCTACTGCCTTGCCACTTTACGCTTATCAGGTTCCTTATCAGGGCAAAATGTGCCTGCTCTGTATGGAGGATTGTAAGTTTTAGTGTTTTGTCCACAAGGACTATTGGTTGCAGCTTTCAGCAGCTTTCCTCAAACTCTCAAGTTAAATGTAGCTACCCAGGGAGTTTTTGAACACTGTAAAAACAACACATGGTCACAAAAATGGGGAAACCACTTTCAAAATTTCGTACACTGCTTGTTTGCCATGTAAAGTGATAAATAAGCAAAGCAATGTTTCTCTTTATTTCTTGTTAATTTCCACTGTGCTTGGATCTGCTCTGGGTTATTTTAATTGTATTTTATTTATAACCAGATTTTTATATAATAGTGAACCAGCAACCTGCAAGATTTATAACCTAAAGAAAAATAAAACGTGGTTCACATATAAACAGCTTTAAAGCTGTTTATTAATAAGTGGTATTCATATATTCTAACAGCAACTGTTTGTCTTTCATTCATTGCAATATTTCAGAAGCGTTTGTGTACAGTCTGGTCAAACTGTGTCATTAAGAATGTGGGCATGTAGGCTAAAGCCATGATGTGTCATACCTGTTTTTATGAGAAAGAGTTTGCCACAAATTATTTTGTATAGTAAAACCCATCTTAAAACATATTTGTCTCATGTTCCCAGTTTATTCAGTGTTTGAAGTCTCACTTCGTAACTCACACACAAAGCATCTGACTTGTTTCATAGTGTCACCAGTGTTTCTGATGTTTTAACTTAACCCCTTACAGTACATCTAATAGCAAAATGTGCCTCTAATTTGAAGACTGCTTTAGACCAAATCATGCTTTCTGTGTCAGCAATTATAAAAAGTCAATCATCAGGTAAAGTTACTTAAATTTTTCATGTGTATGTACTTTTTCAGTTTAGCTCCAAAAAGAAAAAGCTGAGTCTCAGTAAAATCTGAATTTCCTTTTAGTTCCAACGGGTGGAGCTGCCTTCCCAATAAGAAGAGAACATTACAATCAAGAAATGACTCACAATCATCAGCGAAAAACAAATGTATCAGTCCTTCGAAGCCCACGCCATTTCTGGTGGTTTTTTTTTGCCCCTGTCAAATTTTTCCTCATTGTGGGTTTATGTTTTCACTGCAAAATAAGGTCCTTTACCTCTGTGGAAAAAGCACAACTATGGTTAGAAGTAGAGAAGTTTACAAAAAAAAAAATGGAACCAACATGTACAACATTTTTCCAAGTGCCCACGGATGTTACCAGTGCTTGGAAAGAAAAGGTGACTTTACATATAGTCAAAATGTACTAATTACCTTTTTGCAGCCTGTACAAGCAGCGCTTTTCGTACAACTCTGCACACAACACCAGAAAGATATTTCAACATGCTGAATGTATCTTCCAGCAACTTGCTCCTCTGAAAACCGTTTCTGAGCCATACTGCATTTATTTTATTGCAAGTATGTTCGATTTGCTTTTCACTCTAGCTAATGTGTTTCCATTGTTGTCCCATCTCGGCTCTGAGCAAACACAGTCTGCAGTTTAGCCGAAAAATCCCTAAAATTGTGTCAAGCGACTGTTGGTCAGAGCTGAGTCACTAATGGCACCTCAGTTGCACAGAGTAGCACAGAATTTTTTTGTATTTACAGAATCTATCAAACAGTTTGTTTATGATACATTTTTTTAAAATGAAAAATTATGTTGAGGAAATATAACTTTAAATGTAGATTTTATAGACAGAACTACGTGTCACACATGGTTAGTTTATAAAAATCCAACAGTGCTTTCTGTTTTTACAGCTTCTGGCTTTGATTCATGAATGGTTCAGTATTTTATACACAGACAAAAAAATCAAGCTAAAATTACTGATGGTGAAAACAGTTACTCTGCATGTTGGAAAAATGTAATCAAATAAAGGAAGTAGGAGTCTGTCCTCAGACTAAGGGCATATTTATTTTTAGGAGATTTGATCAAAAAGTACAGGGACTAAGTATTAATTTATGATTTACTTTGTTAACGCTATAGGGGGAAAGTAGAAGAACATTGAAGATTATCTTTTTTTTATGCCTAAATTCCACCATACAAAGTTTGCAAACATTTTAAACCCCTTTTTTCCGCTGTAGTATTTTGATAGCATGTTTTTTTGTTTTTTTTTTGTTTGAGATCTCTCTGTGCACCACAAGAGGGAGCTCACGTACTACCAGTGGTACGAGGACCATAGCTTGAGAACCAGTGCTCCAGATAAAAGCAGGCCATTACACATGTAATCTGGTGTAAACTACGTTCATCTTGACATAAAAAAAAAAAAAAAACTTCCAATCGCGTAAATTTTTTTTAAAAAATTAAATGAAATTCAAGTTTTTTTGTTTTTAAAACCACAGCTGTCACAACAATCGCCACTGCTGATCATCATTTCAGCTTCAAATATTTTTAAATGCGAGTATTAGCAAACAATTATGTAAAAAATGCACGTTGTTTTTTTTAAATTTTTTTTTATTATTTTTTATTTTTTAAGCCTTCTATTTAATTTATTGCATGTTGACAGATTGTATGTGATTGTGTAGTCCAGTCTATTCTGTAGAAAATAATGACTGTTTGATCGAAGGGTAGTTGATTAGCCGAGCGATTCCGTAACTGGCCGAGAATTGCCGAATCATCTGTCCTGCCCGGACTGTTGGAAGCGGCCGCAACGCCATGTTGGCGAAGTGTCTCATCTCTGTGAGAAAAAAATGATAGAAAACATACTTGCCGAGAAGAAAAGGTAGATCGCCGAGGGAGGTTGAAGATCGCGGCGATTATTTCGTTTGAAGAAACGAACCGAGCCGGATCCGCAGAGGTTCCGGACGGGCGAGGGAGGCTAAACCTCCCACCGTCCCCATGAATAGCACCGCTGATCCGAACAGCGACTTTCCATGAAAAAAAGACGTTTGTGTTGCTATTCGAGCTTCGTTATCCCACTTCGTTAAAGGGATTTGGGGCCTGCTTCAAGAATCTGCTACGCTTGCTTTATGTATGCAAGCTAGGCGCTGTTTGTATCAGTATTTATTAAGGTATTGTTTTTATTTGTTGATTTTTCTGCGATGAGTTTGCCACCGAAAGTGGTCCCCAAACCCGCCGCTGTCGCAGTTAGCGGACCTGGAAGTGGCCCCTCTCCGTCGAGCCAACTGCGGGCTACCCTGACCTCCGTGTCTCTGCCGCCGGGAGCCCCAACAGCTCCTCAGCCGGGCGCTGTACCGCCACCTCAGTATCCTTTGACGTGGGTAACATGGAAATTGCTTGGGATTTTATGCATTTAACTTTTTCTTATGACAGTATCACGCACTGCTGTTTCATTAGTGACACATAATAGAGGTTGGATGTGGGGATGATGGTTTCGTTTGGAGGGAGCAGGGAGGGGAGGGGACAATTAGCTAGCTAAGTGTGCTAACGTTAGCTTATCAAGCCGGTTGTCAAAGCTAACGGAAATGTCAGTTTGATTTGGGGAGTTGACGCCACTCCATTGCTTCTACGCACGCTTGTGATTAAATATAGCTGTCATATGAATATAGTCTTGTCATAGTAATATTACAGTGGCGTTATTTACTGTAGGAAAGCCCCATGACCGGCAAGCTTCCACACCGGTTACCGGCTTTGTTCAGTTTTGGTTGTTGACTAGCAAGGTGCATTAGCCTAGTTAATGTGCTGTGCCAGCTAGCTAAATTAAGGGTATGGCTAGCTAGTGCACAAGTCAGTGGATGCAGCGTCGCAGAGCCGTAGAGCTTCATCCATTTCAGGGTGACGACCTGTGGCTTTATAATGTACTGGGGCTAATGTTAGCCAGTGCGAGGCCCGACGTGTGGGAATTGCACGTCTTTTTCCATTTCACATAAGATTAGCTGTTGAAAGGGAGCTACTGTGCACCTTGACAGGCCTGTCGGTGCCAGCGTTGCGCTCTCAGAATGACAGCTGGTCGAAAATTAGCTCGGTAGTTTCATGAGGGTCTAATGACATATAGGTTTGTTAAACCGTCGTCATCCAAGAAATCTGTTAAACATGCTCTCCGGCTGTCACATCAACATAGTTTTTTTTTTGCTTTCGTTTTCTGCGTTCTTCAGAAATGTGTCTCTATACAATATTCATCTTGCACCGTGTACTTCTATCAGCCCTTAACGTTGTGGGTTTGTACGGTCACTGCCCCCAAAACATAGCTTTACCTTTGAGTTTACAAAGGTATGGCCCAGTATCACTCTACCCTACTTTTGGTGGGGTGAAGTCACTGTGGTTATGTCACCTCCTGTTTTATTTACAGCATGGTGTCAGTAGTGTGAGAGAGAGGATTAAGTTGATGTCTAATGCCTGCCAGTGGCAGAAGGATGTGTCTTGTGATCTGACAGCTTCTGTTGTGGCTTAGCTTTGAGGTGTGATGTCTCAACCTGATTTCCTGCCACCCAAGATCACAACCGCCCTGTGTTTTTGACGTCTGTAAGGGGCAGTAGGTAGCTGTTTATAGCAGGTGACGGTATGCAGTCCCTCTCTTTCTTGCAGTGTGTTGTGATGTTTTGGAGTTGTCTGTGAGTTACACGAGTGAACCAAACACAACACAGAAGATAGTGGTCTCTAGCTTTTGTGCCATGTCCTCCTTTGACTCTCAAGGCGTTTGAGATGACTTAAATTTCCTTAACCTACTTTCAACTGTATGGTAGTAAGTGCCTACCATTTGAGTACAGAACTGCACCCTCTCTGTTTGACTAATGGTGCATCAAATGAACCGAATATTTTTCTCTTAAAGTAGGAGATGTCACAGCTCTTGGTCATAGTCATTTTGCTTGACTTTTTAGTAACTTTGGTGTTAAATTGATCCTCCTGTTTGTTGTGTGACATTATAGAATTTCAGACTCCTCTTGATGACACTGTGGCTATTACAAGTGTAATTGTCCACCAAATAACACAGCAACTGGTTATTTCATGGCAATAATTCTTGTTGCCATAGTTTTTTAAATGCCAATAATAGATTATGGTTCACTACAGGCTGACAGTATTATCTGGGCCTCGAGTTTATATAAATTCTTGTTTAGTGGGATTCAGTCTAAGACACCCAATACACTACATGTTGTATTGATATTATTCCTACACATGTATACATAGGAGCTTTGGAGGACAATATTGCATTGTTTTGAAAATACACTATTTTTAATTCAATCCAAATGGAACAGTTGAACCACAGACATATCCTACTTTTATAAAGTTAATCATATTCGTTTTGTTGTTAACAATGCACATTAAAGACTTGTTGTTTCAACAGGAAGGCAATTTCCGAGGCTGAATTTTGTGGTGCTGTTGAATTATACTGGATTTTATTGAACGTAGAATGCATTCTATATAATAAAGTATGATTTATTCTTGCATTGCATAACCATCTGTGCAGTGGGGAGGGAGTTAACAGTAAGAACAAATTGTAGCAACATCAATTTTGTGAAATTACAATTAAACTAAACTATGCTAATTTGTCAGGGGACCTCCATCTAACTAGCAAGGGCCCCACAGTGTGTACGTGGACCCTGTTTTTGCAACCACTCCACTACATTGCACAGCATTTACGTTTCATGTCTGTATGGAAACAGCCCCTCAGAGTGTTGCCACTAGTCTGACCTCTTAGACTCCCAAGACCTCTGAGGTCAGCAGTGTGGGAGCATGTTGCTCTCTGTCTGGCCTGGACTCCTGGTGTATGGGAATTCCCAATTGGAGGATGTCGCTGTGTATGTTTGTGGAGTCCTGACATGCACAGGGGGTTGAGAGAGGCATGACGGTAAAGTGTGTGTGTGCATGCGTGTGTGTGCGTGTTGTGGGGGGTTTGTTTCTTTTCCTGGTTGCCAGAGAGACACCCAGCGCATGCGTCTGCTGCTGCACTTGCCAGACAATAGCACTGCTGCTTAGCATTCAGAGTGAGAGGCCAAGGTGGCGCTTCCCACCATCTGCCAACAAAGGCCCAGGTCACCCAGCCTGCCTCAGCCCTCCCTCATTTCCTTCAATCCCCTCACAGCTCACCTCACCCCACTGCTAGCCCAGCTGGGAAAACTGAGGGCTTCTCCCCATTCCCCCACCGCCCCCCCAGCTCCTCTCCCTGTGCACCCCCTCCAACCCCACAGCTTTCATGCTCATGGTATAATACTTTCATCTCATTTTGAAAAGGCTGGTTCCCTTTTCTCACACACACACACACAACTTTGCTAGTTCTAAAAAAATCTCCATTCTTATCATTTGTGTGCTTGTTTGGACAAAAAGGTGAGAGCAGTTTCAAGTACAGAGCTGCTGCAAAGTTTAATGTAACCAGTGAGCCTGGCATGCAGTCACACTCACTGTTAGGTATGCAGTATAGCTACGTAACATATGTACCCAGCTGGTAGGTCACACAGCACAGTAGTCCTGTATTTCAGGACAGGTGTGTGCAGCCTGCATGAGAAGATATTCTCATGAGCATACTCACTGTGGGATGTTATAAATAAACTGCTGAGTTGTTATGAGCCAGCATGCAGGACTGTTCTTTCCAGAGGGAGTGGCCTGTCGAAGAAGACGTCCTGCACACTGTCAGTTCTCACTCAGCGTTTGAATCTGAAGCAAGTTTGTATTTTTTTTAACCTTTTTTTTTCCGTATTTACTCTAGCAAAACCGTTTCAAATACATCCTGTAATTAGTGACAGTTTCTGATGGGCAGATTGCTTTCAAATGGTACAATACTCAATATTTACAGTGAACAGTGTTCAGAGAGCCATCCCACCCACACAGTGATGCTGTAAGGGCGAGGACGTTTCGAATGTTCACTTCTCAGAAAGTAGCGCTCCAACTTTGACAGTACAGTCTTAATGTTTGTGTCAGCACAAGCATTTGTGCTTTGCTTTACAAATTTTAAAATGCCATGTCGCATGTGCCATTAGAATACGTGATAGTCAAATGATGGTTTCATTTGTGTGCAGTTGTAAAGGGTTTTTAAATGCGATAGTTTTGGGAATTGCTACCATTTACAGCTAGTTATGCTAGTCATGTTTAGTAACCTTTTTCAATCACGTCCCTTTTCTGTCTGGTGCTGATTGTTCCTTGTCATACTCTGTTGTCGTACATAGAAGTCTTTTTATGCGAACACAATGAGTAACCGGGTACCTCTGTTAACACCGTTTGCTTATTTTGTCTAAATCATCCTGGAAAGTGTTTTTTTTTGTCAGCTGGGTTAGTATTCAGTCTTGTGGTACTGTGGTGTATCTTCAGTGCTGCTCCTGTTTTAAACATAAAGCAGTAATCGGGTGATAAAGTATTCCTGGCTGCTTTCTGACTGCTGGCCTGTGTTCCTGCTTCCGCCACAGAGTATTCCAGCAAATTCTTAATTTATTGCTCATTTCTTGATAATTTGGCTCATAGAAAAATAAGAAATCACAGACTGCACAATTCATCGCACATTCTATTAAACAAAAATTGTATTTTTTCAAGTAGTTGTGTGTAAAGGAAACCGCTTTCACTGTAGACAAGGCCTAGGCTTTATCCACTATGGTTACCAAGTAACTGTAAGTAAGGGCTGTAGGTTTCACACCTGTAAATGCCCCTTGGCAGCATTTCAGACAGACAAAACAAACCGTGCAGTTTTTTTTTTGCTGCTAATGGAGTTTTGCCCTTTAGTGAATATATAATGTAGACATATTGTTGAAAAATCTCTTGTTTTGCAACGTCTCAGTTTTTAGATCATTATTTGGAGTGTAACCAACACACTGAACATCAGCAAATTTTAAAGTGATGTTAGGACTGACTCTTCAATAAATAGATGAAGACCCCTTTTGTGCAGACATTATATAACTGTCTGCTTTTATTTATGAACCTTTTATTGTCCATCTCACCATTATGACTAAGTGATTTTACTGAAATCCACAGTAAGTGGTAACTTGAATGTGGATTTATCTTGTAAGTCTTGGAAAGAGCATGTTGTAGTATTGTTGTCATATTTACATCTTTATTTATTTATTTTTTTGCATGACTCTCCTTAAAAGTGCAGGTTGACTGCCTACCCCCTTAATTTAAAATAAAAACAAATGGAGTCTGTGCCAAAGGCATCCAGAACCATTGTTGCTTAAGATTTGGTTTGTTAGGGCTGAATCCACCAACCCACCACCCATTGTTCATACTGTAGCGAAAGAGCAGCCTCAGCAACAGCAGGCAGGCAGTGAGAGCTTTGTGAGCTTCGCTTTTATCCAACACTCTGTGTGTGTGTGTGTGTGTGTGTGTGTGTGTGTGTGTGTGTGAGTGAGAGAGAGAGTGTGTGTGTGAGTGGCCAGTGAGCCAGCAGGGAGAAGCAGGGTTTGTATCTGCACCATCTGGCCCGTCTCCACTCACTTCCTGTACCTTCACTTTGAGCCCACTGCACTGAGATTTCCAGGTAGTCTGCTTCATTCAAAAGGCACATAGCAGCCTCCTTAAGATCTATGTGAAATGCAGACCACAGTTATGTGAAATAACAGTTTGCCATGTTAAAGAAACTGCATATGTGTAATCACGGTGCAGACAGCCTCAATTTGATTGATGTGGCATTTCTCAGCAGACCAACTAAGTCAGCAAAAGCAACACTCTCCTCTCAGTGTGACCCTCTCATGTCTCTTTTTCTTGGATATTTCATGTGATTTATTTATAAGTTTGGTTGTTAACTTTGCAGCTCTGATTCATTTATTTATTCAGTAATAGCAGATTACAGTTTATTGAGCAGTATCATCCTCTTGATCACACCCCTGCTATTTGTAAGGCTGTAACTCCTTCTGTCTGCCCCTTTCTCTCTGTCTCACACACTCAGCACTTAAGTGGCTTTACTGTAAGTTAATGATGAAGCAGGAGCTTCAGCAGCTTTTCCCTCCTAAATGAGGCTTACAGGTCACTGTGGGGTTAGGGGACAGGGAGGAGTGGTTGGAGCTACTTTATGATCTCCTCAGGGCAGACAGGTAAGCATGGGCTTGTTTTAGACCCAATTGTTTCCCTCTCAGCAACAGACTACAGGGCTCGCTAAATGTTCAGTTTAAAAAAAATAATAATAATTTGAGCAGCTACCCTATTTTCTTACAACTCAGAGTTATTGAAGGTCTGTGGAAGTTATCTTCAACTGGCCTTTCAGTTGAAATAGCTGGCATCCTGTAGGTGCATTTGATTAAGGAAAATGTAGCCTTTCGCCTCTGAGCACAGCACTCCTTTCAATCTCAGCAAGGGTCAAAAGTGAATCACTTACCATTGCTGTAATTTTGATCAGTTGGGTGTTGCAGGTAATTTTTCAGCAGCACTGACACTCTCATTTTCTGTTGTAAGCCTTAAAGTTGACATTGTGCTTGCCCTCTTTCCCAAAGCAGAAAATTAATGGAGATCAAACAAATGACTAATGTCTAATTAGTGTGGTCAGCCACTTTCATGGTCGTGCCTGATACATGCAGTAGGGCTTGACTGCTAAGTGTCTGCATCCATCTGGTTGCCTGGCCACCCCAGCCTGACATAAATGATGTTCTACCTCGGGAGATTTTTTTTTGCTTTCACAGCATGATCACCTGGATAACACACTGCATAAACATTCAAGTTGCCATCATAGCATTTTATTATTTTTAATAGAAGCATTCAATCCTGCTGCTGCAAAACAAAATACTTCAGAAAGACTGGCTCTTTGTGCGTTTATGCTGGTTAATTTTTGTGAAACCTTCCAGGGTGTATGTCACCAAAAATTAAACATGTTTTCAAAATCAAAGGGAAACTTTGTTACAAATATTTCTGAAACCAGCTTCGTTTTTAGCCAAAGATAGAGAACAAGGAGGGGAAAAAAAAGAACTGAATCAGTTTTCTGGTTCAACAAGTCTCATGCTGTGTTGCTTAAATAAAAGTTTGCTGTGGAAAAGATTTTCAGGTTATTATTAACTTTTCCCCAACAACATGACAAACATGATAAAGTGTGCGAGCTGATATTGTCCTTTAACCAACCCGCGTAATTTGTGGCTCAACAACATTCTGCATGACTGCAGGTGTTTTCCTTCTAAAATAACACAAGTCTATATGCTGGCTTTGATCCATTTAAATAATCTTTTATAATTTGGCTGCTGTTGTAGGAAAATTAAATCTGCCAAATTTTCCAGTAGCTTTTTCTGCCTCATCTTACCTTATTGTTCCTACAATATGCTTTTCCTACCCTTGCCAGTGTTAAATATAACCCCCCGACTTCCAGGTTGTATTGCACCTGTTGCTACCAGATTGAACCCCGGTTTCGCCAGTCTGTCTGTTTGCAGTCCCTACAGTTGCCCCTGCCAGCCGGTGGTCATGTAGAGCAGACAGATCAGGTTGTCTCACTGTTGATAGCCCAACCCTGGCTTGTTCTCTGTCTGTCACCCACCAGAACTGGGTTGAGAAATATTTACATGCAATTACTATTTTTGAAACTGACGCTTGACTTTAGCCTTCTTGATTCTATGATTAGCTTTGTTTTTTAATATAGATTCTGTCAAAGTTTAAAAACATGCCATGAAAATCCTCACATTGGAAAAGTTGGAATCAGAATGTTTGACATTTTTGCTTTTTAAAAAAAATGTTTTTATGAATAATACAGAAGACAAAAAAATGATGTCAAAGATACTCCTTGGGTTGCTGCATTTCTTGGAAGTAGTTAATAATGCCTTTAAAAATCATGACAGGTGACCTTTGAATTATTGAGAAATCAGTCTTCTTGAAATTGGAATTATGTGAAAAATGTCTTCTGCTTGCTGCTCAAAGCATGGAAAAAGATAAAAATGTAAATACTATCTTCCACACAGTTTATGTGCTCCTGCTCACCTAGACTGTCATATCATTGTGAAGACACTGAGCCTCTAATTACTCCTAATTTCTGTGTGTAAGTGTACAGTGTGTGTGGGGGTGGACATGTTGTTTTTCCAAATTCCCCGGCAATGAAACAGATAATATTTCCTGCTGTGCTTCTGCATTTTGAATCACAGCCCTCTTTTAAAATCATTCTTTTCTCTCTTTATCTTCCTCTCTCCCCCTTGTATTGTCAGTTACGAGTAGCGGCGCTGGCGGGGGGCCAAGAGAGATGACGGCCCCTGCAGGCAAGAGCAGAGTAAAGGAAGAGGGCTTAGGGCAGAGGGAGGCGTGATTTGGGTGAAAGGAAGAAAGCCAGACGTTCGGTTTCCCTTAAACCATGTGATCAGCAGTGTGTGAGCCTGTCTGTCGCAGACAACTGCCTGAGCAGGTTACTAACCACAGGGCTTCCCTCTTCTATATGACACATTCCCTCTTTTGTCTCCCTTAACATCTGAGCGATGTCTTTCAAGTGAGTCTCATTATTGTGGTTCAGAAGCCGTAAAGAAAGTTATCATCCATTCTGGTCTCTCTTCAAAGTGTTCCCTAAGCATTAATAAAGCCTCAAGTGTTATAGATTCTTATAAGTATCGTGCTGATGTTTTTCTCTGGCCTGTTATTATTCTACCATTAGCACAAGGAGACAAGAATTAGTATTGTATGCAGTTTATAGCTTCGCTATGAGCAGTTGTCTGATCTTCTGCTCTGCCTGTCCCTCTGCCTGATGTAGCCCAGAAATCCATGTCAGATTTTCCCTTTAACTCTTGCAAAACGGTGAAGGTACATAGTGTACTCTCAGAGATGGGGCATTTTGGGCGGGGTGCTGTGGTCGGGGGATCCTTGAAATCAAACTATGCGAACCATTGGGGTTTGAGGAAAGCCCTTTGGATCTGAATAAACTGAATGTATTGCATAAAAAGATAAAAGTGTAGAGTGAATTCATTTCCGAAGAGTTACGTCAGTGTTTGCTAAATGAGGGAAACTTTCTAACACACTAGATCAAGTCTCTTCATGTGGTTTAATCAGCTGTATTTAGGCCAAACGATGTGTCTGTCATGAAAACCTAAAACATGACAGGAATTTTACCTGTTGAGCCATTCAACTCTTCTCTAACTTGAAACTTGATTTAGTGTCCAATTGCTTTGAATTTTCCTTTACGCACTTTTTTCCAGAATTCCACGGGTTCAGCCATCACTGGACGACCGAATCTTCCCCACACAGCCTGGAGTCGCTGCAGTCTACAGCGTGAGTCACTGCATGCAGCCCCCTTTTCTAACACACACACACACACACACACACGTGCATTTCCACCTGTATATGTGCTTCAGTGCATACACACAAATAATAGACACATATGAGACTCATACCTATAACATGTAATTGTGCACACTTTGACTCTGACTGCACCAAAAACATACACTCAGTTGCCAGAATATTAGTTACCCCTTTGCTGAAAGTATTGCAATCCTAAACAATGCTACCTTTATAAATGTTTGTTTTTAATGAAACTGTTTTAAGAGAGGTCTTGATTCAGATTACTGGTCATTTTAGAGACAGTTACTTATTTGATGCCAGCAAACATCCTACTTGGAGTGATAATATTTAGTCTCCAATCATAGAGTAAAGATTAGACACTCCTGTCAGACCATTATTTATAACCATCATAATCATGAAATACAACAACAGTATTGATAGTAAATGTTTTCAAACCATAAAAATCAGCATACAAGGTTGTTTTGTTTTTGTTACTGTTTTTGATGCCTGGAGTGCCACAGACATTGCTGTTCAGTGTAGGAGAGGTCTGTCTGTTTTTCAACACAGTGTGTGATACAAACATTGTTGAACATTGAGCAATAAAATGCTTTCTTCTTATTGCCCTTACCAGCATTGTAAATATGCATTTGTGTTTTTAATTACCAATGTAGAAAGGCATGCTGGTTAAGACATAATGCTGTGATCTGACCTCAGAAGACCTGCTGTGAAAATGTGTCACCTCAGGGGACCTCTGCCATTCACTGACTTGTCCAGGAGTTCATTTACATTTCCTTTATCAGATCTTTATCCCCATAATTCTTAGTTTTTATTGTAACTTTCCTGGAGAGTTAATAAAAGAGTTAGGGGGGCTTGGGGAGAAATTGTGATTTGGTCAGCTAGATTTGGTTGAACTTTAAGTCCGGTTTTGTCTCGTCCTCTGTGGGCAGCCACACCTACTGTATCTCCCTAAAGGCAAGAACAATCTAGACTTGGGATTCACCTTTCCTCCAAGGATCTTGGCTTAGATGTTGAGCAGTGCTGTGTTAAGACCCTCAGTGTTCTGTTGCACTGCTCTGGGCCTGTCTCCTCATAAAGTGATATGTGCATTTACCTGGAGGCCACTGAATAAATTTGGTATCGAGCTTAGCAGATTTGTAAGATACTGAATGGTGACAATTCCACCATTAAAGGCAAACACACCTATGTTTAGTGTTGCACATCTTGTGAATGTTTACTAGAGAATAAAAAGATAGGAATATTGATTTTATTTTCACATCACATTTTATTGATTTTTCTTCCACAGAATGGAACTGTGGTTCTCACTTAGCTGTTTGACACTAATATTGTGGTGGTAATTTGTGGTAAAACATTGGATCCTGTGTTTTTGTTTTTCCCTCAGTGCATGTAATTGTTAAAATATCTGGCTTTTACAAGCTTAACAGTATACATTAAAATTGCCACATTTTTGACACCACAAAGCTGTTTTCCAGCACTGATAACATTTCTGAAATGTGGGAGGTAGAGTAGCTGCACAGTGCACAAGGAACGGCACTGTATGCTTGGAGATAGGCTATTCAGCTGTGAGCTTGTTTATCCACTGCAACATAACAATACTGAAAACATTTGAGGTTTTATGAGATTTTTTGAGCTTTGTAAGTTTGTTTTTAGGGGGTTAAGCTGCAACAGTGATGACACTGGTGGAAATAAACAGTGCTTATGGCATGAAACCGTTGTTCTTTATGGTGGATGTGAGGTTAACTCAGTCACTCTTTTTTTTCCCCTTGTCCTCATGTACAGCCCCCATACAGCCGCTTACCTCCCCTCCCCCATCCCATCATGCTGTATGTCCTCAGAATCACTTGCCTGAAGCAGAGCAGGCTCCTCCCCTGGCAACAGCGGCTAGATTAGTTGCTTTATCCCAGGTCATCTGAGGGAAGTGGGCCACACTGAGAAGATGTAGAGATGCAGAGGAGAGTCGTGCTATATAGAAGCTATATAGACTGTTGTCTGTGGCACCTGGTAGATTTAAATATATTACACATTCAGAGATGTAAGTATTTAAATCTTAATGTCAGTAGCTGTCTAAAGGAGCTTTCGAATCTCTGAATGTTACGATTTTTATGAGGGAATAAAATGAGGAGAGGTGGTTTGCCCGGCTTTCCATTCTGCCTCAGTGTCTGCTTACTGCTGTCTTCCTGCAGTATCCTGTCTCATTCCCTGGTGTGTCAGGCCTGCTGCAGCAACAAGCAGCACCTGCAGTGGTGCCAGCCCATAGCTGCAGCAGCCAAGGCCCAGCCTGCCTCACCACACACTAAGAGCTGAATCAAATATCTCATCCTTGCCCGATATTGCTCATGGCTGGTGCCCAACCTGAACCCTCCACTGGTCCATATCAATGAGGCTTGTTTAGCATGACTCAGTGATGTCTATTGTATCAGGTGCTTGCTATCTATCACAGATGAGTGGGACTGTAATATGATTACTCGACCCAGTTTTGCCATATGAGGCCCAGACATCCTTGCACAGCATAGTCTGGCACAGCGGGCTGCCAGAACTTAGTCTTTAGCCAACCACAGCGGGCCTCAACAGCCATGCACATCACAGGTCTTCACCTCTGCTCACATACAGGGGCTAATCCTGCTGCTTGAGCGCTTAATTTAAATTCCTCAGCAGGAGGGAGGACTAATGACCTGTGGAATCTCACCACTGCTGTTCCTCCCCTACACTAGTTTGGTGTGATATTTCATTTTTTGTGGCTAATGTTACTGCTTCATGTCGTACAGGTACCCAGGCATGCTGGCCCTCCTTACACTGCTCATGACATCACAAAGGGACACCCTAACTTGGCAGGCACCCCGCCTGGTCATGCCCACTCCCCGGCTCTCTCTCAGGTATCAGTACCCACAGCTTCCCCATATCGCTACCCTAAGGGCTGGGAGGCAGGCGGAGGGGTGAGTTTGCCACTGTGACCGCCGTCATCCTTTCTGAACATTCACTGTTGCTCTTTCCATTTGTCTTCTTTCTTTCTGTAACTTTTTTTAAGGGCTTAGCAGATCCCTTTAGTATGATTGTAGAATGAAAGAATTTCACATAAACCTTTACGTATCACAGTAATATTTAAAAGCTAAATGCTCTTATAATAAATTCTCAGTTGAATGTATAGAAGTTAAATTGGAAGCATCGGTTTTGAAAAACTATTGTAATAATTCATTATCTTAGCCCATATAGTCTTCATATATGTTCGTTTTTTACATCACCTTTTAAACATCTTTTATTTTCATGTTTGTCATTTTCTGTTTCACTATATTTTCTATTACAGCAACAAGTCATATGTGCATGAGTGTGTTGTTTTAATGAAATTCAGATGAATACATGATTAAACAGTCTTGGATATTTAGAGAACACTTCCTGTGCACTACTGCCTATAAAAAAAACATGCATTTTCTGTATTCTATACATGGTACCTGTTTAATTCTGATAAGGCTCCACAAGGGACAAGCCCAGTATGTATGTGGCAAACAGGAGTTAAACAATGACTAGGTTGCCAGTCTTTTAGTCCAGGGCTAATGCATACATAGACAAACATATTCGCGCTTTTATGACCTGGATTTCTTCAGACAGGAAAGTAGAGCACTGGCAGGAAACGCGCATGAACAATAGGAGCGTTTTAAGACGGAACCTTTCTTACATTACCACAACTGAATAACATTTTGATTAAATCACAGTTGATTAATGACATACACTGTATGTGCAGTATCATGATGTGAGAGGTTTTTGCCAATATATTTTTTGTTTTTTCCCAAAATTACTTGTTATTTAGTCAAACTTGCCAGCTACTGTATGTGCCCACAAAGGCTTGTGGTACTTGGATTCATGTTGGGTGCTGGAAATAGCTGATGGTGACAGTAGTAGTGCTAAACCACATCTGTGAGTCTACAGCTTAAAGAAAGTTAACTCAGAAGCCGCAACTTTATTAATTTAACACTTGACAAAGAGTCACCTGTAATTTTTAGACCTATGCTCTTTGGGTAGAAGCTCTGCAAAAAGTCATTGTATAGAATAAATAATTAGGTTTGGGAATAAATTAAAAGGGGATGTGTGTGTAATATTCCGGATCCCTGCGGGGTTATGGGCAGAAGGACTGAGATTAGGTTGGATTTAGGCAAGATTAAGTAATTAATTTGGATTTGAGATGGTTGGGTTTAGCTAAGGGTTAAATGTATCGTTGATATCTAGCTAGGGCTTCCTTCTCTTCCCGAAACTAACTATAATGAGATCAATACACATGAGATGGTGATGGTATGGAGAAATGAGAAAATACAGAGGGCCAGAACAGACATAAATCAGGGTCGAGCTTTATGAAGAAATACATTCCCCCTTGACATAATGTGGTTAGGGCATGTATTACATCCAAGGGTTAGGGTTGTTTGGGGAAATAAACCTAGATATACATACAGGTAACTCTGTGAAAGGTCAATCCATTAATATCAGATGTGCCAACAGTGACGCACAGTATCTGCGCCCGCCTTGTTGCTCTCATTTACAAGCATGTTGACTCGGTGACTCAGCATCTTTGGAAGTATGTGACTATGCTTGCGAGGAATCTAGTTGTTCCTCTTTACCGTTATAGCTTATTGGCCCACTGCCTCACACTAAAGCAGCTCTAGTCTCTCTCCAACCTTCTATGAATAGTGTTGTCAGCCAGCACAAACTTAAATTATTACAACCATACCAGCAGCTTGAAGAATAAGCAGCTGTGCTTATATCCACCTCAGCCTAGCTCCACTGCACACGAGATGAAGAAAAAAGGAAACACAGGATTTGTAGTTCTTGAGGGTACCAATTATCTTTGCGCAGTACATAAACCCCAATTGAAAACACTTTCTCCCGGCAACATCCCAAGTAAGTTAGTGCCCTGATGTCTGGTGTATTGATATGGAGTGTTATCGTTGAGGTCCTTCAGAGCGCAAAATGTCTTAATCAAATAACTAGAGCCTGATTGGTTGTATATTTTCTGGTCATTATGAAAAAAAAGCACAAAAAAAAACTCTTGTTCTCTGTGCATGTTTCCATTTCTTCTTTTGACAGTCTCCATACAACCCTGGGCAAAATGCTGGCTCCGCTCCTTTAGTGTATTCTACCCAGACACAGCCAATGAATGCACAGCCACAGAGTCGCCCGGTGAGTGTCCCTCTGGTCCTAGATTTACAGCACATCTGCCCCCAAGTACCCAAACAGTTTGCGGTTTAGTGCGAATGCAGAAGCCTTATTGAGTAAGTCTAGGAGAGGTCTTGTGTTAAGAAGTCACCAAGCGCTCTCGAGCTGTTGACTGATCTTAGCTTGATCGTGGCAGCGAGGAACTTTAACATAGGATGTATTTATTTAATGAGGTTCTCCCTCAGCGTCTCCTTAGAGGCTCCTTATGGGCTCATTGTGGGTGGTAGAATTGCTGATGGCATACAGGACTTGAGTGTGCACTGGTGTAATTTTATACCTTCCATCGCTACCGCCATGTAACTGTTATCTGAAAACTGTAGCACACCCAGGAGGCTTCACTGTGGTCATTTAGCACTATGTACACAGACAGTAAAAGAAAGCAGGAAAAAATCATATCCTCAGAAAAAAAGTAGCATTTGGCTGCAGAGAAAATAGTTAAATCGGTCTTGTGAGAGGTGAATTAGAAAATTAAAAGACTTTTGCCACATTTTGCCAAATGCAGACGGGTAGTTGTTTGAGCAAATAATGAGGAGTTGGGAACCTCATCGAATTGAATGTCAAACAAGCCCTTGAGCTGTTGTTTTTCTCCTAATTGTCTAATGGAATTAGTCAGAGGAGACAAACCGTTTGGGGTTAAAATCAGGCTTTGTCTTTGCAGTGCCTGTCTAGCACCATGGAAAAGAAACTACTCCATGAATGCAGCGTTTAGCCAGTTACTCTATAAACATTTGGTTTTTGTGAGGTTTCTGTTTTCTGCAAGTTATATATTTATTGGATTTTTTTTAAAATAAAGTTTTAAAAACAAACAAAAAGAAGTTAAATTTTGGCTTGCTGTGTGTTTCCTACTTAGTTTTTGTGTTGTGAAAATTTCTAGTACAATCAAGCTATCTCTAGTTTCCTAAGAAAGGGAATTTAAAAATATGCACCAACGTAATACTTTTTGTGAAACATCTCTTACCATAAAAAAGCTTAGTACAAAAAAAAAAAAAATCCAAATGTGATATTGAGTTTGCATTATTTATAAATCTTGCCTTGCTCTTGCCCAGCCTCCAAACAGAGAACAAGGCAAAGCAGACCTTAGTCAGTGTGTATTTACACATGCAGTAAGTCTTGTTTCAAACTTTGTGTTTACATTGGTACGGTCAGACGACTGGAAAATATTCAATATGCATTATTATTTACTATTTTTCTCTAGTATTTTAATTTCAGTGTGCCTCAAAACATGTAAATTACACAATAATTTCTCATCCCAATGTGTAAGTTGTTCTTTTAACCAGTTAAATATAGTACCTACAACAAGTGACAGTTGCAAGCTATTATTTGCAAATGCACGGTTTGACTGAGGACTGGTTACTGCACCATAAGCCACATGTCTTTAAAGCTTTGTTGCTCTGTGGTTTTGTATTGTATGTTCAACCGTCGGCCTCCATCGCTCATCTTATACTTTATCTGTGTCTCTCTTGTGCTCTTTCTTCTCCCTGCTTTGCCATCACTGCTTCAATCTCCTTGCTGGACCTCTCCTCCCTCCCCCACCAGTTTGCTACGGGCCCTCGACCAACCCACCATCAGGTAATTTACCCCTGCTGAACGCCCCTCCTGCTCCTTCTCTTGCATCATCATCATCAAAGCAGTTTGCTGGTCCCTGCTGGCAAAGGGCTGTTTGTGGGGCTTCTGCTGTTCCTTAAAAAAAAAGAAAAAGTTTCAGATTTGAAAGATTATCTTGGAAACCGTTAAAGAGGTTTTAATGGGATGTTCCTGTGTTGACTAGTTAATCAAGATATCCAGCCAGGTGCATACGGGTGTTTCTTGACAGTATTTTTTCTGGAACTATTCATGTTTGCTATGTGGAGATTTTTATTTCATTTTAAAATAGGGTGTTTAGTCTTTCTTTAGCGTAATGAAGCTCTGAGCAAGTGACTGATTTTGCTCCGGATGTGTCCTTAGGATTGCGACTGCATCAACCTCTCTAGTGATTACATGATGGTACATGGCACTGTTGTAATTTGTGTGCCCACTGTAGAAACTACTCTTTAAATTTATTCTGTATGACTAAATCAGTTGAAGAATATTGTGCAGACAATAAGTGTTTAGACAGTTACACACTTTTACTCCTCAGACATTTAGTTTGAATTAAAATAACGGATGCTAACATAAAGTGCCAAGTCTCAGTTTTAATTTGACTAGGTCTACATCCATAATGAAAACAATGTGCAGGAGATTTTCCTCAGAGTTCCCAAGGTTTAGGGAATTCAAAAGCAGTTCAACACATAACATCAAACTAAATCAACATACTTTATGTCTGTGAAAAATTATTTGGCATCTATGGCTGCTTGTAGTGTATGACGCATAATTATCAGCAGACGCTCATGCAGCCACAGCCAGATGTTGCTTGTTGTGGGATCTCGCTGTCTTTAGTCTGCTCTTCAGGCAGAGGATAAGATTGAGATCAAATAGTTTTTGTCTTGTGCCCTGTAAAGCGACTTTGAGTATCTTGAAAAGCGCTCTTCAAAATAAATGTATTATTGTTATTATTATTATTATTCTAAATTATTTACTTGACCAGTTAAGGATATCTCACCTCTTTAAATCCCTTAGTTGCTTAGGCTGTATGTTTAGAATTCTTGCCCTGCTGAATGATAAAATGGTGTCTAATAAGTTCTGACCCATTTTGCTTAATCTGAGCGCACAGACTCCAGTAGCTCTGCATTTATCCTCTTGTTTCCGTTAGCTTTTCGGTCATCAATAAATGTGCGTGCACCTGCGCCACTGGCAGCCATACATGCCCAAGCCATAACAGGTTTGACAGATGAGGGGATATGCTTTAGGTCCCCCCCCCAATGGACACACCTTGACACTTGGTAGTAGTTAGCTTATTCTTACCGGACACACTGAAGTGCCCTTAGATCGCAAAAGTGCTGCATTCAATTTCAGTATTGTAATTATGATGTCGACGGTCCTGTCAAATGGCTTTGCAAACACAGTTTTCTTATTTAGTTACAAGTATTTATCAAACAGAATATTGGAACTAAATATCAGTTCTTGCTCCTCTGAGGGGCTGACACCGTCTTCACACCAGATTACTACATTGATCAATAGTGGGACGGTAATGTCATGTTTTGTTTTTTTTTTCCCCCTTTAGTTTTAAGGCATTTGTAATGTCTGATTTAATACAACGAAAATACATTATAGTATGCCACCAGACCTGTTGTACAGAAAATTTTATTGTGTTGCAGGAAACAGGAATGGAGTGATTGTTATTTTTGAGCTCACGTAGCTAAGTCTGCCAGACTTCATGCGGTAACAACACCCTCGTAAGACCATGGCCTCATTTGTTTCCAGTAGTAACACCAAGGTACCACAATTAGCGTGGCTGTTTTATTGTTGTTTGGGTGAGAGCTTTTGTGGTCTAGGTTTTTTCACAACCACAACTGCAAGCCAAGATGGACACGACTGACTGCAAGAAATAGTCTGAAGCTGGTGCTATTGAAAACTTGATGATAAAGGTGAAATCATTTCACCTTCAGGGTTAAAGAAGACAATATGATTATGGATAGCTAGTGGTTAAATAGGCAGGGAAAAAGCCAAGAACTATTTTGAGTGGACCAGCCCCAGTGTCTGTCTGAGTTCATGGTGGACATTTGTGTAAATAACACTCGGACTCCTGTTAGATAGTTGACACTTTGTAAACCAGTGTCAATAGATTATGAAGGGCATGCGTTCCTGTCTGGCAGTTCCGGATTTATGGCATTGTTTGTGTATTACCTTGTGGATGCAAAGAGTCTTAGACATGTCTGGGTACTGACGTTCAGTCCGTGTGGCTTCCTGTTACTTTGTGTTTGTTGATTCACACTGTAATGATTCATGCAGCTGCCCGTTTTTAAGATTGACGTGTTATTAACACCCCCAGTCCCCAAGATGTGCTCTGGATAACTTGTCTAACATACTCACCTTCTGAATGCTTCTGTGTGGACAAATTTTAAACAGACTATTAATAGTATGGTGTCAAAGTGTAACGGGTGTGTTTGCTGGCATTAGTGTATACACACACACACACACACACAAGTGTATGGCTGTCACAAACTGGCGCTGAGATTTCTTGTGCCACCACGGAAGTGGAATCGGAAAGCAGATGAAACCGAACAGTGGCCTTTTGTACCAATGGTGAAAACAGCTATTGTCCTGCTGAAACACACTCAATGCACAGTAAAGAGTGCACAGGGATCAGAAATTCATTTGGCCAAAATATAAATCTGTCTTTAAACAAGGATCCTCTTTTTTCTCGTTACAGCTTGTTTGGTTTTCAAATATGCTATTTGTATGTGAATGGGGAAAAAAACAGCGAGTAGGAAATTACCAAAACAAACAACTGTTGTTTCCTCTATAGAGAAGTAAATAATTCCATTAATTAGAATTTTGCTAGTCAATGCGCTCTCTTTGTTGGCCTTACATAAGAGAGATGTCATACAGTTATGTCAGTATTGTGCCCTGAACTTGATGATCCAATTTGACTTTTCCAGAGAATTTAGTATTTGTTATTCTCAACAAGCCAAAGTAAAAGTCTTCCAGGCAAGTGAAATGACACCTATTAGCTCTATAATATAGACATGTTTCTGAAATTCCCCTGGCATGCAGCCCTGAACACTCCTCCTGTGTTGCTAAGTCAGCTTTCCAGGTGACATCCAGGTCCCACTGAGGCTTGGAAATGTCAGTTTGAGGAAGCAAGAGACAGACTGGCGCTCAAGCTCTCTCTGCAGTGTTTGAAAAAGAAAATATCCCTTAAAGTACAGTGCATGTTTGGATGAGATACTCTTATGTGCATGTGATTGTCTGTGCAACTGTGCTTGTAATGTCAGGGTGGCACAAGTCAAATACTAATGTGACATTTTGACTGTGACTTTAAAGCTTTTTTTTCCACTGTACCACCCACTCAATGATAAACCAGCTTTCATTCTTAGTTTTTTTTTTTCCTTATTATATGAGTTATTTTTTTTTTTTACCAATCTAAGTGGCTCAGGACCAGTCACTGTGTCTGGCAGATGGAAGTAATTGGGTAGTTTCCTGTTGATGTGTGTGGTTGCTGAAGTCTCACCAGTGCGGTCTCCTATTGGCTTTTCTCTCTTTCCTGCTTTCAATACCCAAGGGAGGATTCAGGCCCATTCAGGTAAAACTTAACTTTGTGTCGAAAGTCTCTGCAGACCTGCATGGCATGATGAGGATCATCCTTAAATGATCCCAGCCCTCCTAACTTTTAACCCTACACACCCCCTCATCTTCACTACAGTGTACGCTCAGTAGAGAGGTCTTTTATCATCATTTTATCCCCATGTCCTGTCTCCTGTAGAGGATCATTACTGGACTTTTTAGTTCATAATTTTGTAATTTTTGCTCCATTCATTACTCATCTTTAATGAGCTTGCACAGTTAAATGAACAGCATGCCTAATGAGAAAGACACAGTATATTCCCTCCTAGGGAACATGTTTTTTTACTTCCTTTTTATATCCATGTGATAAGAAAAGTGTCTGTTGGAAATGTGTGATGTTTAATGTCACTGTATAGATATGTTACTGATGTATGTATGGTTTCAGTGTCATTAGGGAGTACACTTGTTTTTGTGATTGTTTTAAGCCCAAGTTGCAAAGCTCATTTTTGTTGACAGCGTTGAAAAGTTATTTTGTCCGTTGACTCATGTTTCTTGCTTTGCCAGCAATTATACTGAGACTGTCTTTGGGAAGCTGGTAATGAACAGTTTGCTGGTCATTTTCCAGATTCCTACAGGGCTATTTATAATAAAGCCACTGAAGCTGATTTATTGTGTTAAAGGTGATTTCCCTCCTGGGTATTTTTAGACGGTTTTACAGCATTGTTTATTCTGCTCTCCTTCACTGGAGCATACTGTGACTGTGGTTGGGTATTCCCAGCGTGAGCCCTAGTTGTTTGGAAGTCGGTCACAGCTGTTGGTAGTGGTCTTTCTTCAGGCCCAGCACACAAAGATTCTAGCATTCCATCTTATTAGCTGTTCAAAGATAAAGCCTGTCTGAAATTAAACTTTTAAGTGACTGTGACATGCTTCATAGGACGTTATTGTAGCTGCAGTGATAATGAGTATATTTCCTGTATTCTCTGCACCGGTGCACCAGAAATGTAATATTGCAGTGTGATGAGCAGAACCACGCCATGTGTCAGACATTCATGACCGATGCAAGGTTGGCCAAGCAGCTCAGACACATAAAAAGGCAGTTGAAGCCATTCAATAGCCCAAGAGCTTTTTTTTTTTTTTTTTTGCAGCTGTGCAGTCCAGCGTGGACAGACGTGGCAAAATGAACAGCAAAAGAAACACTTAAAGAAAGAAATTTACACTTTGGCTTTTCCTCTTTAAATTTTAGGGGCTTTTGCAGGAAACTGTAATCATATCCATCTCCCATCTGCTTTGCTTTTAAAACGAAGTCCTTTCTTGCTTTATTTATTAACAGCCATCTCACAGAAATTCTTCGTCTCTTTATAAATCAAACATCTCCGTGATCAAAGCGATGGTTACGCAGGAGGTAAGGCTAATATCTGGAGGATTAGCTCTGTGATCTCTCTTTAGAAAAATCAAAGTATTAATCACCAAAATTCATGTTATTTAAACACCCAAACACACATTCCATGTCTGTTGGGCTTGGTAGCAGGTGAGATCAGAAGGCATCACACTTCATTTTACAAATGTGATTCTAAATGATCCACAACCTCAGTCATGTGTCACACTTTTACAGTGTAAGCATTGTGAATTGTGCCAGTGATCAAGGTAAAAATGTACACAGAAGGTTTCACTCTGTTGTAGGCTGTTAACAATTTAGTGCCATCTTTAACCAAAATGTTACCTCTGTTTGAATGACTTTATCGTGCTATTGGGGTTAGATGATTGTATAATAAAATATTTAGTGCTTAAGTGTCTGAAACTCACTGCAGACATGAACTCACTTCTTGGTAAAATGATGAGTCTAATTCATAACAATTCTCACCATCTAAAATATGAAATGTAAACTTTTGAGAGATGTTTAGTAAAGTAATTCCTGGAGGAGATTATGGGTTCATTATGGAGGATGTAGTGTTAAAGTGTGACTCATACCATCACTCAGAATGGATTTAATATAATGATCTGAATGGTTTACAGCAATGATGAAAGCAGAGAGAAAGCTGTGGTGCTAGGCCTCTTTTTTTTTCTTTTTTTTCTTTTTTTTTAAGCTGCTGATAAAAACCAGGGCTCACAGTGGAGAAATGTGTAGGACAAATAGTGAAGACATCTGGAAAAACTGTGCTTGCTTGTATTTCAGATAAAGCATGGCAGCCTGCCGAAATGAGACTGCTGCCTTTGGGACAGCATTTAACGTCTTCTGTTGTTTCTCTCTCTTGTCTTCAGTTTTTTCAGAGGACTCAGATGCAGACTGCGAGGCCCACCATCCCAACGAACACACCCACTATACGGCCCGGCTCACAGACTCCCACAGCGGCTGTCTACCCCACTAATCAACCAATCATGATGACCATGGCTCCCATGCCTTTCCCTTCTCCACAGACTGCACAGTACTACATCCCACAGGTACAACAAACACACTGAGTTGGTTCCTAAAATTACAGTGTTTTTGCTCTATTTAACCATGTGAACTCCAAAACCTGTCAGTGGATTTGAAAGACGTGTTGTTTTTGAAAATTTTAAAAGTTACACTATTTATCACAGGAAGAAACTGTGAAGTCAGGAAGAATTGTTGGATTTTTAACTTTTCGACAATCCTTGAAATAGTCATGTGTGACTTCTGGAGAAAGAAAAGAAATAGAAAAAAGAAACCTATACTAAAATTCTGGATATTTCACCTTGTTCTACATGTCTCTTATAAAGAACTGCTGCTTGATCTAGCCAGATTAGGTGACAAAATAATAATAATAATAATGATTTGGCTCTTTGGTGCGACCAGGAGGCATCGTCTCAGCTGCAACCAACTGTTGTGACAAAAATTCAGGGACTTTTCAGCTGTAATAAACGTCATGCTTTGTTTACACAGAGCTGATAGCAGACAAGGACTGAAACAAACTGAAAGTGTAACTAGGGGGGAATCTATAGTATGTAGAGCCACCATTTCCCCCCCAGTATTATTAACACCCATGGACACTTGGAAAAATGCTTCAGTTTTTATTGTCTATTACAATATAACTTTGTTATGCTGCACAAAAGGTATTTTATTTTGTTCTCCCTTCCTCTGACCATGGCTAAGCTGTCTCCATAGAGGTTCAGGACTTTATATTGCAATGAAAAATGAGCCCACAGTATGTAGAAATGTGATTTAAAAAAAAAACATTCAGAAATTGTTAGGGCTTCAGAGGGTTAATAAAGTCACTCAAGCTATAGTTATGCATCATGGTTTTCTAAAAGCATTCTTCTTTGTTTAATTTATTACACTTAACAGATTCATGTTGTTAAAAGAAATATGCTTTGTCTAAGATGGAGTTTAAGCAAAACATATTTCCATGTCTCCTCTTTTTTTGTTGTGAGTGAACAGAGATATAATACTGATTGGATTGGATTGAACTGGTTAAAGGACTAGTTGAAATTTTTGGGGCAATCTGCTCATTCAGCCAAGAGTGTGAAGATCTTTACTACTTGCGTATGTGCCAGTTGAATATGAAGCTGGAGCTAGTCTCTGCTTAGTTTAGTTTAGCATAAATATTGGAGAAACTTCTGAGTTTCCAAGAGTTACTGCAGCTAGCCAGGAGACTGTCCACGTCGTAACCTTGTGTAAAGTCGTCATTTTTGCCCTTTATCTCTTTCTGACATTAAACAAACAAGATAGAACATGTCCTTCGTAGAGCTTCAGCACCTAAGACATGCTGATAGGCAGATTTTGTTACTAATATTATTATTGTGCTGTTAAGATTACATTTTTAGGCTTTTATTCAATAGCATAGTGTAGAAGTTTTCAGGGCATTTGTATCTATGTGGTATGCACCCCAACCACTCAGCTATCAGGTCACCTTAAGTAGGCATATATTTAATGGACAGATATAAAAGTGGTATCAAGTTTGCTATGTTACTCATGACTATTCTCTTAATGAAGAAGAGACTTTTTTTGATCACCTGAACAATTGCTCAAAACCTGTCCAAACCACAGTTGACCTCCTGCCTCCAATCCAATAAAAACACAAAAAAGCAGAGGACTTTTGTAAAAAAAAAACAAAAAAAAAAAACTAAATGATATACATGAATTGACTCAGCAGGGATCATTTTAAATGACAGAAGCTGATCTAGAGCACAGTAAGTACTCAAAACCTATACAGAGTGCCTGAGAGCATTGATTTTGCATTGTACTTTGAATTGTTACCTGGAGCCTGAATTTTGTATTCGTATTTATTTACCTTTACCCAAAAACGACATGTAGAAAAGACACATTTTGGCACTTAAAATAATGTGTCTCCTCCAGTGTTTCAATAAAACCTACGTCCAAGGTTCCAATCATAGTTTTATCTGCATGTTAGATTTATCAAATAGTTTCTTTTTTTCTCTGATATTTTTTCTTTATCTTTTTTTCTCTGATATTTGTCTGTAATTTGCCACATTACCTGTGATTAATTTGTATCTGTGTTGATGGACTGAAAATACACTCTAGTTGCAGTTGGTACTAGTGACTTTGAAATATATGTCATAATACTGGTTTGGGCAGAATAGGTGCTTTGCCAAACAAAAACCTTAAATAACACCCAAACATAAAAAACATAGCAGTACTGATTGCAACGGTGCGCAGTTTTTCTAAATTGTAAGTGTACACTGTCTGTGTTATCCTCACTGATGTTGTCTCCATTTTTCCAGTATCGCCACAGTACACCCTACGTGGGACCTCCTCAGCAGTATTCTGTACAGCCCCCGGGGTCTGGCACCTTCTATCCTGGTCCAGGGCCAGGGGAGTACCCTGCCCCATATCGTGAGTCATTAATCCAGCACAGATACACATTCAGTGCTATTCCCACACTCATAAAATCTAAATCAACCGCACAATAGCACAAATACACGTTCAGCCTTGTGTTCCCACAGAGCGGGGAACTTAATGATGTTTTACTAAAATGTCTCTTCTTCTGTTTTGTCTTTCTGCTCTTGCATATTCATTCAGATACCCTCAGGTACCACCCACCTGTCTCACCCTCTGTCCCTGCTCCCGTTCCCACAGCTGGCCCACCCTACTACCCAGGACAGACTGTGTACCCCCCCTCACCCCCTATCATAGTGCCTACACCACAGCAACCTCCACCAGCCAAGCGTGAGAAGAAAACAGTGAGTATCTTAGTAGTTCCTTTGCCTTTTTTTTTTTCTTGAGAAAATATTTGACACACATGAACACTGACCCGACACTAACAGTAACAGTTAGTAAGGTTTTTTTATGTTGTATGTCAGTATCAAAGTCAGTTTAGTCACTGTTATAATTTTTTATCAAAAAATAGCTGTTTTGTAATTAGCATTCACCTGGAACAACAACAACAACAACAACAACAAATGGCAGCTCTAGATACCAATTTCTTTACATTTGGTTAGCACTTGCAAATACAAGTTTACAACTTAATCTTAAAAAAAGTACAATTTAATAGTGCTGCACCACTTCATGATCTCACAGAAGCCCCTCTGTCTGCTGTGCCCAATATTACTCAGTCCACAACATCAGAAACAACGAAATATCAAAATGTTCTTCTCGTATTTGGTGAGGCGTTGATGTAGACTGGCCTGGCACCCTTATAACAGCGTTACAGTTGTGTGTTTGTGCATTCCCATGTGTACGGAAAGATTTTGTAAAACAATTTGTTCAGAAAAAGCTCTGTATTAGTGTGGACAAGGCCTTCACCTGCACAAGACTGTAATGGCAATAATTAGTCTTTACATTTTGACAATACATTTGTCTCACGAAGCCTTGATAGACATGAATTATTTTAAAGATTTTTTCCTTTTGGACATTTGCAAAAGTATGTATTTTCTAGTAAGAATATAAAAATCTGTTTTTTATAACTGTAAAGCCTATACTGAGTCAGTGATGGACTCGGCTGTCACTCTCAGTATACATTTTCAGATCCTTCAACAAAAGTCATGCAATGTAACATTCAAAAATAACTACATTTTGTTATTGGTTGATAGTCTACTGTTTTGTTAATATTAATACTTGAAGATATTTTATGTTACTCTCCATTCTTTTCCTTAGAACAACTATTAAGACTAGCATTATATTATCACGTGCAGCCAAGTGTGGGTTGTTCATTTTTCTTGTTATAGCAACATCTTTTTATTTGCAGTATGGCGCTTTCTTCAGGACTCTACCTTACATTACAGCTGATGAGAAACATGCATAAAATGTGGCTGCTGCGGGTTGCTCTAAGACTTGGGCGCTTTAGTGAGGTCTGGTTTTTTGTGCCATTGTCCTCCCAGATCCGTATCCGTGACCCCAATCAGGGTGGCAGGGATATCACAGAGGAGATCATGGCAGGGGGTTCAGGGAGCAGGAATTCAACACCTCCTGTCGGTCCCCCCTCCTCTACCCCTACCCCTCCACAGGTATGACTCTCTGACACACTCACCCACCTCTCACCTGCAGTAGTTGTAGTTGGAGTAGCGCAGCAATAGGAGACGAGGGACGTCTCATGTTGCTTGGTCCCAGCGTGAGCTCTCTGCTCTAATGTCTTCTCAACCACCATGTGTGTGACAGACAGGACATGGCCTCTGTGTCTTTGGTAATTTATTCGGACATCTTGCCCTCTCATAAGAAATTCATGACGGCTTTCGGTCCAGGATGTTACATGCCTGTAGTTTGTTGCTCAGGATGTATAAAAGTCCATTTTTACATAGTCTCATGAGCACTTTTACTAGTACATAAATGTGACGGAGTATTTATGCTTTTTAGGTACACAAGCTGTCTTGGTTTCCTCATCCTACATTCCTGAGAACATTTAACCTGCATATTAATGATAAAGAAATAGTTCATCAACATCATTACACATCGCATATGTTTAGATGTAAAGTTGAAGCTTATTAAAACTGCTTTGCACTTAATTGTCTTCTAGTGATACATAAATTCACTTGAATCTTATTAACAGCTGGTTTAATCTTACACCTGCTTTCTTCCTATCAGTGTTTCTATTCATTCACTATCTTTTACAGTAGATTGCACATGTAATGTCTGTACACTCCTGCTCCTTCTACAGAATCCACTCAGATCCCCTGATTCTGCAGAGTCTCTTCAGTCTGACTGTTAAAAAAAAAAAAAAAAGAAAAAAAGGGGGAAAAAAAAGAATTTGTTTGGCACACTGCTTATAAATATGGAAATGTGTGGGGCTCATTCCTGGTTTTAGGTCCAAAAGTAATGAAACAGGGATTGGTTGTAAATATTAAAGTAGCCCCTTTTTTTTTTTTAGATGGATACAATTTAAATGCCTTTGTCTTGAGCCTTAAAAACTACTGACAAAGGCTATGGGCACATTTTAATTAAATGAAATTGCCAAGCTCAAATTAGACTGTTTGTTTGGATTCTGAAGAGGGAATCTGTGAGTTCTTCCTCCCTGTGTCCTTCCGTGGATGTTAACAGTGTCTTTCCTCTTTTTCCTCTGTCTTTTTGTGCCCCCTTGATTTCATTTCTTTATGTATCTCTCCTCTACTCTATTTTACTCTGCATTGTCCTGAGCCTTTTCCCTCTTGCTGCCTTTACTCCTGCATCGATCTTCATTCTCCTCGCTGTCTCTCCTGTCTTGTCCTCCATCGCTGTCCTCTTAATCTAACTCATACCTCGTTGGACTCCTTATTTCTGCTTAATTCTGCATTTGGGCTTGTTTATTTGTTTGTGTGCATGCTTGCCTACATCTCTGTGTCTCTCTCTCTGGTTTTCTGTGTTGCTAGTTTTTATGGCCGCACCCTCATTATCCTCACATTTTCTACCTCAAATCGCAGCAGCTGAGCAGCAGCCAGACTCCAGAGCAGCAGCAGCCGCAGCCTCAGCCTCCTCAGCCTCCTCAGCAACAACAAGCCCATCCTGGAGGCTACACGTTGGAGCCACCGCAGCCCCAGCAGCCCCAGCAGCCCCAGCAGCCCCAGCAGCCACAGCAGCCACAGCAGCCGTTGACAACTGGGGCTTCAGACACCAAACCAGGGCCAGGTCTGCCCCAACACTCCCTTTCTTTCTTTAAAATACATTTCCAACACCTAATAAGTAGGGGCTCCATGCTTAACAATCTAGCCAATTTAACTATAATCACGTGTTTGAATTGTCAAAACCTAACATTAGACCCTCGAGAAAGTTACACTAATATTTCAAATGTCATTTTTAGTTTTACTGCCCCCCATAATGCATAACAGCAACCAGTGTCCTTCCACGTAGATATCTTTTGTTCAAACAATGATTTTCAAACATTTTATGTATCGCTTTTCTTTTCTCTCTTACGCAAACTGCACACTGAACGCTTCCATTTTCATTTCACTTGCTAATCAGAATGATGAATCAGCAAAACTTCCTGCTCTTCCTGTAATTATCTGGAACATTTCACCAGGTTTTAACTGGAACACTCCATGCCAAGTCAACCACTGTCTCTTACCTAGGTTTTTTTATTTCCTGCTAAAAGACTATGTACCGTATATAATAGAGAAATCCTAGATATTAGAGCCGTTGGGATACTTTCTATCAAATTACAGACACTTTTACAGAAAGAGGTTCAAATTTTGATAAGTAGTAGAATAAATTTAAGTGTGTTATAGTTCTACGCAGAAATGCATATCTTTATCAGTTTTCTTATGAGGACAGATATATACTTAGTTTACAAACTTCCTAGAGAATTATTCCAGATTTGACATAATTTTGGGAGATTTTTGCCAGATACAGCCTCTCAGAAACGTTAAAAACACATTGTTGCAGATCTTACGTGCTATTTTTGCTTGTCTTTCTTTAAATATTAACAACTGCTGCTTTAAAAGTGTTACAAATAAGCAAATGTGCAACTAGTATTATGTCTCTTACTTTTTCTTTTTTTGCATGTTAAAAAAAAATCTAATGTAGAACACAGTATAAAAATATAAATCAATTTCTATAAAAATGTGGCGTAGATTACAAATAATGTAAAAATTGAAGATGTACTTATTTTTTATTTTTCTAATCAAATAATTAATGTAGTTACATTTTTCACATGTCAATAGTTGGAATACACTACCTATCCTCATTCATTTCTTACCTTACAGCTATATAAAGAACAGTCATGGATAAGATCTTTGACTTTTTTGATTGAAGAGTTATGCCTGAAAATACATGTGTGTGCAATGCATAATCCTTCGTTACATCAGTTACCATAGCTGAGTGCTGACGAGCTCTAGGATATTGTGCATGTGCTTAACCAGGTGAGCTACCAAGGCTCCCCATAAATAGCCTTTTTATACCCTGAACTATCTCTAATTTTGAGGACAAATTAAGATTTGACCCCCGTCTCTTTGTAATAGTAACTTTAGCTATAACTCTCCCATGGCTCTAAAATGTAAGATTCCTCTGTCATATTGATTGATCATCTACCAGAATATAAATGAACAGAATAAAACAAAAGAATAAAACCTGTCTGTCTGGCTTGTTGACTGCTAGTGTTTTTGTTAGCTTTTATGCCACAGATTGAAACAAAGCCATGTTTCTATCTAAACATCTTTATACATGTGTCTGTTTTGAAAAACTGTTACCAAAGTATGATGCAAGTGTTACTTTTGCCCTTAATGACTGAATTTTGCAATCATCTGCTCCTGTCTTCCTCCTCTCAGATGATACGCCAAAATTGGAGCCAGTTGTCCAGAAGTCTTCCTCACCTGGGCTTGTGCAGCCTGAAGCTCCCTTGGAGAGACTGGAGGCCAACGCTCCTGTATCTGAGCCCTCTCCTACTGTTGAACCAGAGCTTCCCTTCCCTTCCTCACTGACCGCCCCTGTCACCCTCCCACTTACAGTGGCCAACACCAGTGAACGTCCCTCAGCCAGGGAGTCCACCGCTTCAGCCTCTTCTCCCTCCTCTTCTGTTGGGGAGAGCAAACCCTCTTTGGCACCACCTCAGATGCCCAACACAGACAAGCCTCTTTCAGACTCCCCACGAACTCTAGCTGCCTCTCCGTCGCTGGCTCCTAAGGCTTTGAACGGCCTTGCAGACTCTGGGACAGAGCTAGACGCCTCAGCTCATGAGCCTTCTCTTCTGTCCCCAGCTGCACTCCAGCCCCAGGCCTCTACTCCTGCTTACAGAGAGGCCCCCTCCTCCTCTGAAACCTTGCCCTCTGACGTGAGGCCAGAGGTGCCCATTGCTGCTGCGCTCTCTCCTATGGCACCTGTGGCTGTGGTGCCTGTCACCCTGACCTCAAGTCCCATCCCAGCTTTGCCAGTTATGCTCCCCCCTGGCCTTCCGCCTCTAGTGCAGGCCACAACAGAGGCCGATGAGCTGAGCAAGTCCTTAGACACTAAAGACCTCATTCCCAGAGTAGGGACAGAGGTACATGGTGGCATTACTGACAGCAAAGCAGAGTCCCAGCAACAGGCACTCACCAGAAAGAGTCCCACTACAGGTACTGTGTCTGTTGCTGTTGATTGCGTATGACATCTTAGATATGTTCTATAAACATAGTGTAACTTTTAGTGACAGGCCAGCCTAAAATGTCTGCTGATTTTATTAGCCCATTACATTTTCATGGTATTATACCCAGATAGCTGAATTGAGTGGCTCTATAGTGATCCAAGGTGGTTTTTGCATATCTGTACAGCACACATTGCAGATAGTCTCTCTTTAGATGCTGTACTGACAAAGCTGATCCCAAAATAAACCCACAGCATCATCAAGGTTACTGTGAATCCAGAAAAATCAGGAAATTGGGAGAAATATTATTATTAAGGCATTTGTCAAGGTTAAAGTTAAGTTTATTCAAGTAACCTAAGTAAAATCATTTTCTGTAATTTCCTCTGGTAATTCTCATACTGAAAACCACAACCATCTGTAAACTGTAACTAAAAATATTTGCCAGGACTGTTAGGCCTAACAGTTTTAAGGTTTGCTTATACAAGCAAAAACATGTTTTTCTTGCCATCATTGGTTTTAAAAACAAATTTAACTTGTGAATCCGCTGTGGCTTGGCTGTTAATTGAGTTTCTGTAGCTGATTGCATGTTCCCGCATTTCTGTTTCCCTGCAGTTAATCAGACTGCTTCTGCTATACCAAAGACCTGGAGAAAACCAAATGAAGGGATCTCTGCTGGAGACGCACCTCAAAAGGAGGATGAGGTAAGAGAAGAGGCCTTCATTTTAAAATGCAGAATGAGGAGGGGGAAAGAAAACTCAACATTTAAGTTCTGAATTTGAATAGTCAAGCAGGGATCATTTTATATCCAAAATATGTGTCTGTTTCTCAGCCTCTAGACAGAAGTAAGCTACAGATAAACAAAGAAGAAATCAAGTGAAATGTACATGCTTGTTTTGCATTGCATTGTTTTGGAGGATTTTGTGACTTTTTTTGTTTTTTTCCCAAATAATTGGTATTTTGTTTTGGAGCAAAACTAACTCCTGTCTGTTGGGCAGAGAGGATGAGAGAGAAGAGGAAAGGCAAAATGTGGGCAGTAGTTCAAGTGGAAAATGTTTCCACATGTGTGGTGAAGGAAACAGACGTAAATGACTTTGGGGTATTGTTATCATCCAAGAGCGACAGCAAGAAGTTATCAATCATCTTCATTGCACACCCAGCCCACTGTATGTAAAGTCAGCGTGCCCCTCTCTCGTTTCCTGTCTTTTATTGGTTCACTCTACGCTTGCTGCTGTAGGAAAGTTTGTGCACCACTAAATACTGACTGACAAATGGATGGCTCCGTCTAGTCTATGTTGAACAAACTCTACAAATTTTGCCTTTTTCTTTTTTTTAACATATTCCAAAAAGATATATAGGAAGCCACTTGGCGGTAGTTTTAATCATAAATAGGTCCACTTCAGTTCAGTGTCTCTAAATGTCCTCATGAAAAGTCCCATTTTTGAACACTTTCAAAGTTCAGTGCATGAAAAAATGTGCTTAAAGTGGGTTGACTGGGAATTAACCACCCACCCACCCCAAAAAAACAACACTTTATTATTTTATCCATCTAAAATTTCACAAATATCTTTATAAATATCAATTATATGCCATTAAAAGTTCTGGCAGTTTAGAGATTGTCAAGCAGAAATTTGATGATTTGAAATGGAATGACCCATGTAGAATAAATGACTATAGAAATTGATAAATTCATGATTCTGATGGAGACAAACACAACAGCATCTCTCTACTTCAGTAAGACTACATACCTTGTCAAAAGGGAAGCTAAGGAAACCGTGGTGCCACATGAGCCCTATGCATGACCTTAACAATGACGAGCACAGGAGGATTTTGAGCTAACAAGCTTGAAGATTAAATCCCATACATCATCTGACAGTGACAGGTTTAAATCCCTCTATACTAACTATGCATTTACATTTATATTGAAGCAAAATCTGGCTGATTGTTGCAATTCTTTTGGCAACCAAATTCAGCTGTAGGGATCTGATGTAGCTGAAATCACAATCATCCTGCTGGATGAGTCAGAAGGCATTCAGTGCTTCTGCCTGTGCTTTTTCACTGTGCACAGATAGTGTTGCTTCTACATGATGAGGATTGCTGAATAGACTGGGCTTTTTAAATTATAGTTAAATGACTGTGAGGACAGTGTAGAGAAAATTGTACCAGTGTTAGGCCTGTTCACTCTGTGCCACCAATGATTGAGCTCCAGTTTTACTCTTTTCTTCTTTGTGAATTACCATTCTGGTTGTGTTACGCATATGCACTGCACTGCCAGATATTTATTTTACAATTAGGTCTCTCTTTTTTTGTACTTTAAACTTTTACAAGAAGTTCAGAGAGAGCTGCAAAATATCAACCACTGAGCAAAAAGTACTACCTTGCTTAAGAACAGCTATTGGGGAAACAAGTCATGTATTTCATAATTGAATCTTTCCTCTAAACAGGATGAGCCCAAGCCAGTAGATCAGCCTACTGGAGACCAGGCCCTGCAGTCAGCGGCTCTGAGCAGCAGCCAGGTGCCTCTACCATCAGTCTTCACCTCCGCCCCTGCTCCTGCTCCTGCTAGTAGCCCCGAGGCTGACGGAAAGCCCACCACTCCAGAGGAAAATGGTGAGGCAGAGTTGGAGCCAATGAGAAACGGAGCAGGCCACACCTCGGAGACGGAGAGCAGCGACAGTGGCGCCACCCCTGGAGACAAGGAAAACTCAACAGGGGCTCCGCAGGACATGGAAGGTCAGGAGGACTCCAGTTTTCCGAGCAAAGTTTTTTAGCTAACCTTGGCAAAATTGTAAAAACAAACCATATATTTAATCTCAGCAAGTCCTAAAAGCCCACGTTTTATTTCTGTATACAGAAATTCAAATTTTGGGTATAGCTGCTATTGCCTTTTAGAGTTGCTAGCGTATGAAGTTGCTCAGTGTACCTTCTGCTCTAATTATTTCCGGTTCAGCCGTTGTTTTGTGTCTATTTATGCTTTTTTATTATTGTTTCCTTCCTTGTCAAACTCTGCTTGGCGGTTCAGACCTGACTGAGCCAAGTGGGAAGCGTCAGTATGACAGGGACTTCCTGTTGGGCTTCCAGTTCATGCCTGCCTGCATACAGAAGCCTGAGGGGCTTCCACCGATCAGTGATGTGGTGCTGGACAAGGTAGGTGCTGGACAGATAGCACTGCAGTCTTGTAGAAGTCTTAACATTTAGACAAAATAATTGTACTGTGATAAATATAGATAGATCAACTTTATTGTCTGCCTGGTGTCAATTTTTCTTTGACTTGTAGCAAACACAGACAATATAGCAACGCATAAATCAGAGAAAAAGCCACTGATCCACAGGAAAGAAGGATAATCACAGCACAGATAAAAAAACTTCTATCCTTTAGTTAAATCAATGACTTGAAATGTTATCTCATCTCAGTTTCCTGAGCAGGTAAGCAGGTGCCTTGGGAAACTCTTCTCTTAATGTAGCACTTAAAATGGAAAGTGCCTGATGAATTTCCTTGATCTGTTCTCTATGGCTGCCGCTAATTATTTTTTCACTGTCAATTAATCTGATACTGATAATGTTCTTAATAAACTGTTGGTCCATAAAAATGTCAGGAAACATTGCAAAACAGTTTTCTAGATAAAAATATTCATAGTTCTTGCTATAAAAACTGACTTTTGATCAACACAGTTATTGCACAATAATTTCCTGTCAATAATCTACTTAAGAGTTGTAGTTGTTCAGTCGTCTATTTTGCTTGCAATTTCTCTGTAAATAGAAATGCATGCATATGTGCACTAAACTTGTTGTTTTTTTTAAGCTGCAACAATTACTTGATTCATCATAAATCATCTGCAAAAGTTTTGATCATTAGTTAGTTGTTTAAGTCAGTTATAAAGCAAAAACGTCAAACATTGTGTGGTTTCTGTTTCTCAAATTTGAAGATTTATAACAGTCATAAATGTAATGTCATTTGGGTGTTAGATTGGTAGTTAGACAACAAGTGCCATTAGAAAACCTTACCTCAGGCTCTGGTGATATTGTTGGGGGGGATTATTCATTATAGCTTTTAATAACTCAGCAATTAGGCCATTGAATGACAATGATTAATCAATAATGAAAATAACCATTAGTGTTATCTCTAGTTTTGAGCAACCTCTTTATAAAACTGGATCTTTCACTATTGCCACATAGTACCAGGCAATAGCAGACGTTGTTTTCGTTTGTTTGATTGTGTGCACTGGATCCTTGATACACCAGTTTAGTTTGCTTCTCACATCCACACATATGTATGGGTGGAGCATATGGCCCACTGAAATGCTGTTTTGATTAAAATCACATTGCTATTATGTCACATTTGGCAGTGTTAAGAGTACATGCCCCTCCCCCACCTCTCCAAAAAGAACAACCAGCCTGGCGAACAGTTGATTGGTACAATCCCAAAGTCTCATTTTCTCTGTGGGAGAAAGTGAAATCTCACTGGAAAAGAGTCGAGAGGAAGTCAAGGACAGCTGAAAGACAAAGAGATGGATTTGTTCTTCTCTCCTCCCCCACAACTATCTCACTCTCTCCTGCGTTCCTTTCCTCCGTCCTTCCCTTCCACATCTGGCTCTCACATTTCTCGCTGAATGGCCCGCTGAACAAGCCAAGCATAATTTATTACTAATACAGTAAAAAATACATAAACCAAATGCTGGTAATGTAGTATGACTGTCATTTTCAGCAGGTCACCTTTGAAGGACCACTGGGTTAGAAATTCATGCACACACATTGGCACACTCATTTCACTGACTCCGTTTGCCCTGTTGCCAGTATTACCAGGGAATCACTGCTCCCCCTGCTGTTCAGCTCATCATGTGTGTGCATGCGATGATGTATTATGTATGCTATGTGTCTTACAGATTAACCAAAACAAGTTGCCATCTCGAGTGGTAGATTCCAGAACTATTTCCAGAGGACCTGATTTCACACCTGCTTTCGCGGATTTTGGGAGGCAGATGACCGGAGGACGAGGCGCTGCAGTGAGTCACGCATGCACTTGAACACTTTCCCAACCTGCCACAGTCATTCAAGAAACCACACACGCTCTGTTAGTGTCCGTTTGTTTGACTAGAATTACCCTTATCGAGTGCAGGAACATATTTGAGTGTATCTGCTCCTATAGACAATTTGATCAGCATTGGCAGTGTCTTCTGGCAGAGGATTGTCTGCAGCTAAAATTACAAGGAGCTCCCTGATATACATGTAGCTTTGTTTAATTTTTATTCCTGTTTTTTTTTTTATTAATTAATGCAACTTGTAATCACCAGGAGTATTGACTTCTCTCTTTGTTTCTTTCATTGCATTCACAGCTTCTGAACCTTGGGGCTAGGAGGCCTCCACCCAGGAAGATCATCATGAACGTGTCAGTCAATGATGATGTTCAGCTGAAAAAATCAGAGAATGCCTGGAAACCAGGCTTGAAGAGGGAGGGACCCGCAGAGGATCCAGAGTCACAGAAAACACAGGCAGGGGCAAATATACACATATGCAGCACCAACAATGCCACACACAAACAAATGCACAAAAACTTACTATCAGCATCAGACTGATCTTCATTATCAATGGCTTGTAAAATCCATCTGATTTGAAGAGATTGATATTATAAATTCAACCATTTGGTCGAATTTGGCAAAAAATGTTAATGTCAAAATGAATGTTTAGATGGAACCTACCACAGTTTGAAATGACTCTGCATGCAGAGGTATTTTGGAATGATGTATTTAGATTAGTCTCCAAAGAGAGTGACTGATCAATGACCTGACCAATTAGCTATTTTTGTTATTGATTCCCCACAGGACCTCTTCAGGAAGGTACGAAGCATCCTGAACAAGCTGACGCCTCAGAAGTTTAACCAGCTGATGAAGCAGGTGACAGACCTGACTATCGACACAGAAGAGAGGCTCAAAGGGGTCATCGACCTGGTCTTTGAGAAGGCCATCGATGAGCCCAGCTTCTCTGTGGCTTATGGAAACATGTGCCGCTGCCTCGCCACGGTAAGCCGGCCATTCAACATGAGTCAAGTGTGGTGATTTTAGGATAAAAAAAGACATAGGCAACCCTGATAGTGTTAGCAGATTTATGTCTATCTAACTTCAATAGTGAAATTTGAAGTCTGATTTATTGGTGGGATCAGTCAACTTTAAAACAGGAGACTAAAAAATGAAATCCTGTAAAGAAGAGTTCTGTTAAAAATACATGGGAAAATCCTGAGAGTTTGTAATCCTACCAATACGTATAGCCTGCACTATATATACAGCCATCTTTTAAATAATGTAATAGCTGTTTAGATTTTAAAAAATGCTTTTTTAGTGTAGTACTGTCCCTCAGTATAACCTGCAGAAAACTATTTTGGTCTTGTCTGCTAAACACAAGAATGGGTGTTCAAGATTAAACCTTTTTTCAAGGTTTACTTCTTCTCGTGATGATCTTCATGCTAAAGTTTCTTTATTATGTTTCTCCTTCGCTACCCTCTGCTACTATGTCGACCATTCACGTGCAGCTCAAAGTGCAGATGACAGACAAACCCAACACCACAGTGAACTTTCGCAAGCTGCTGCTAAACCGCTGCCAGAAGGAGTTTGAGAAAGACAAGGTGGACGATGTGGTGTTTGAGAGGAAGCAGAAAGAGCTGGACTCTGCTGCATCGGTATGCGTCCATGAATTACTCGAGTGTTACTGACAATTTCCTTTGTAAATCATTTTTAGTACAGGGAAGAGAATGAAAATCCTAATTCTCTTTCACTTCTGCCAGTAAGGTTTTGTGAATACCTTCCCTGGCAAATGCTTCATATTTTCTTGTGTTCTTCAGGCGACGGAGCGTGAACGGCTTCAGGAGGAGCTAGAGGAAGCCAAGGACAAGGCTCGACGGCGTTCCATCGGCAACATCAAATTCATTGGCGAGCTCTTCAAGCTAAAGATGTTGACGGAGGCCATCATGCATGACTGTGTGGTCAAGCTGCTAAAGAACCACGATGAGGAATCTTTGGAGTGTCTGTGCAGGCTGCTCACCACCATCGGCAAGGACCTTGACTTTGAGAAAGCCAAGGTGAGCTGGGAAAGAAAACTGATGTAATAAGCAGGCAGGAGTAGCTGGCACTCAAGACAATCATTGTCTGTCCTTTAAGAAAGAGCTCGACGTTTGGGAAAATGTAGTTATTTGCTTTCTTTCAGAGTTAAATGGGAAGATTGAAACCAGTTGGTAAAGATGAAGCTACAGCATGAGGGGGAGGGGTTAGCTTTGCATAAAGACCGGAAACAGGAGGAGAAAACTAGCCCAACTTAATTTATTCCATACTATTAAATGTACATGCAAGGTGTAAAAATGACACATTATGGTTTTACAGAGTTATGTGCTGGAGTATTTCTTAGCTGGATACAGTATTTTCTTTGAGACAAGTGGAGACTTCAAAAAGTTAGAAACCAAAACATGCAAGACTTTAGTGTGTCAGTTATGAGCTTGAGAGGTGGTATTAGGCAGATGTTTTTGTTTACCTTTGGACACAGCCATATTAACTCTTCCCTCCTGTTTCCAGCCTTTCTGCCAAGCTAAACTAACCATCTGCTAGTTGAAATGAATTTTTGCCATGTTTTTGCTTACAGACTTGGCATTAGTATCAATCCTCTCAGCTAACTCTTAGCAACAAATTAGGACTAACTAGGGATACGATTGTCACATGCAGTAATGCTGCATTTATTTCTTTCATACATCCTAGCTCAGCCCTGACGGTTGTTGGTGTGATGTGCTTCACACAGTCTAGCTGTGCATTATATATTTAGAGGTGCACTGGCACCAGGTAGGACCTTGAACAAGCCTGATGTTTTTATATCGCTGCAGTAAAAACTTAGGAAACTCAGAAATGAAAGTGAAAGAATTCAGACTGTGTTTGCAGGGATTCTTTCACAAGGTGAATAGTTTATATTTATGCCATAGGAGCAACACTTTGATGTCTCTGTGTCTCTATGCCTGTGCTAATATCAACCAGGATAATCTCCCGTGCACTGGTTGGTTACTTGGCAAATGAAGTGAATTTGGAGGTGATTCGGATCTATACCAACACAGTCTTGATAGACATGAAAGAGAGGGTTCTGGTGGGATCTGATCCCACACCAGCTGGGCTACATTCAGTTCCAGAGGCAAAGGAGAACCTGTTTATGTAGGTTATGAGGAAACGGGGATATCCCCACAGTGTCCCCCACAGTAGATGCTCTGCTTTGTTCTGTCTGACTGGCTCTCCTGTAGACATCAGTGACTCACAGCTGGATACAGCAAGAGTCTTCAGATGCTTGGAGAGACAGAACTGACCTAAAGGCCTTTCTGCTCTGTCCCTGTTGCACTGTGATGTGTGGATTGATCCTTGCCATCTACCAGTCACCTTGCAAAAGGAAAACCTTTTATCCAGCAGAGAAACTGCCATGAAGTTAACATAACAACCTAAATCTGCTTTGTTTCCTTTTCGTTTGCTGCTGGGAAATTTTTACAGTGTTTACCAACATAAAGGCACAGATTTTATACATTAAATCCTAAGAAATTTGGTCATAAATGAACCATCTTGTCCTTCAGATGAATTTCATCCTTTTTAATGTCATAATTTTTTAATCATGTCCGTGCTAATGGCATGCTATTACATTGATTTTGGCCCATTCTTTTTGGGTTATGACAGTTTTTGTTCTTCTGCATCCAAAAATGTTCCAATTTAATGTTGGGCGGTCTGGATAGCTGCTGCTCCAAGTAATAAACTGAACAATCAGTCAATGGAATAAAATGATGTGAAAAGTCCCTGAAACCTGCTTCCATCAAATCGAAAGCAGACGTACAGAATTTAACCTTCGTGTCTCAAATGAACCTTTTCTGTCTCTTTTTCATCAGCCACGAATGGATCAATATTTCAATCAGATGGAAAAAATCGTCAAGGAGAGGAAGACGTCATCTCGGATACGGTTTATGTTACAGGACGTTATAGACCTGAGATTGGTGAGTGTGTGCTTCTGATATTTGTTTTCACTGCACAGATGTAGAGAGTCCAACATCATGCCTGGGCGAGGTTCATGTTGCTTTTTTCCCACGGAGGTTTATTTCATTGATTTCTCTGACCTCCTGGAACATGGTCATATTCTGCTAAATTGGTATCTACTACACATCTTGGGATTGAATTTTAACACATTTTCAGACAGGCTGATGGGAGAAACGTGTTGAAAAATACGCTGTAGAACAGAAGCAAACCTTGGCCTCAAGCATATAAAACACCTTCTTGTTTATGCGCTTGTTGACTGAGGTGCTGATCACCTATTTCTGCTTGTAACACATAAGGGTTTTTATTGAAGGGGAAATAAACCTGTGTTAATACTGTAAAATGTTTTAGACGTGTGCACCCAAAGCACATTAAACATCAGTATAGTAAGCACGGCGTTCATAAACAGCTTAAAGTAGTGAATTAGCACAGAAAAAGCACATGATTAAAATGCTGTCAGTGTTTATGTTCTTCCACTAATTAGACATCAGTGTGTATTTAGTTCAGTATACCACAAACATTATAAGCTGGCATTAACTTTGTTGTGTACATTCTGATCCTGATAAACTCTGTCGATGTTAAACAACACAGTAAAATGTGATGACTTAGTCTTCAGAGAGTCCTGCTACACAAATATTTGTGCTTCTTGACATTTGTTTGAGCAGAGGTTCAGCCATGTTAGGGACACACTGATGAACTGGCCAGCCTGTGTCAAGAGAGCGCTGTGAACGGCAGCAGGTGCACATGTAGTCTAAGTGTTTTCAGCAAAGTTTATACAACAGTCATGACACCAGACAGCCATATAGACAGCTGTTACTTATGGTAATTTTTCTTTTTTTTTTTATTAAAAAGAGGCCATTTCAGGTCAAGTCCGACATTTTACTGCAAAAACAAACATTTATATTCATGTAATTAGTTAAATATTTCACCCCTACTTTGAGTGCATTAAAATAGTCTGCTCTACATTTTAGTGGCTTCTGTGTAACCATTGATATTGCCTTGCACATATGTTCACATTCTGTTCCTGTACACTGCACCGCTTTGACACCTACAGATTTATACATATGGGTAAACACAATCATCAGCATACTCCGTTTTGTATGTTTTCTCTCATTCCCTACATTTTTTTCAAGTTAGAAAAGATTCTCTTTATCACAATGCATGCTCAGAGATCTTTTCCACATGCACACACACATGCATACACACATACATACATACATTCTCACTCACACACACACACACACACACACACACACACACACACACATATTTTTTATATATATATATATACACATACATATATATATATTTTAAAGATAGATATTTTTATATTTATATTTATATATTAAAGGATTTTTTTACCTGAGAAGTTAGGCAAAGTATGATGTTCATTTGTACGGAATTCGTTCAGAAATGAAGAATTTAGCTGTTTTGTTGCTTTAACCTGAATTAGAAGCCCAGCAAGACTGAATTTTAGCTTCAGCTAGATGCCCCTTATACATTACATCAGATGCGTTGTTTTTTCTACATGCAATCATAATTTCCCACCTAAATAAAGCAGTAAATAATAGAAAATACTTTTTGGGCCCACAACACTGGTGAGCAAATGTAGGGTGTGAGAGAAAGAGAAACAAACAAGGAGTGAATGACTTTACGCATGTCATCTTGTGCTTTTCCAATAGAAACATCTGCATTGATTAAACTAAGCACCGTCCTTAACTTTTACCTAACACAAGCTGTTCGAATCAATGTCACTGTCTAATACAGAACACTGGAAACCGACTTGAGCCCTGCTGTGCAGCGCTGCTGTCAAATTTGAAATTAAAATGAGCAAGGTTACTTTGGCTGTGCAAGGATCCACTTTGTTTAAAAAACAAAACCTCCATGATCAGTGTCACGGACAGGCACAAATATTAATAGCAAATTATTGGTTGTCATGCAATTTGAAACCGATGCCCTTGTTAGCACGTCTGCCTCTCAGGGGTAATCACTGACTGATTCATTGGTGATTTTCCTCTGTGATTGACATCTGATGAAACTGGCAAATATTCTCAAGAGAAATTGAAAATTATTTGGGCTGTCGTTTAAATTGGCTCAGATCAAGAAATCAGCTTAAACCTACTGAATGTGATGCTTGGTTCAGTTTGGGAAGTAACTGTATTACTTCCTTTTTTCCTCCAGCACAACTGGGTGTCCAGGAGAGCCGACCAGGGCCCAAAAACCATCGAACAGATCCACAAGGAGGCTAAGATTGAAGAGCAGGAAGAGCAGAGAAAAGTGCACCAGCAGCTGCTCTCCAAGGACAGCAAGAGACGGCCAGGTCAGGCCTGCAGTCTAAATCCTCTTTAAGGCTTAGAATCACATCGGCACAGCTACAGTGACTCAGGAAGCCTGCAAGCGTACAGGCAGACTTCCTGTCCCTATAGCCTGCAGAGATGCTATTGTGCCCAACAGCAGACAGGAAGCCCCCTACTCCCTCCCATCTGTTAACTTACCTATAATATTTCACCACATATAGCAGATACAGTGAAACATGTCAACCTGGCAACCCCTATTTTGACTGAAAAAAATAGCACTAATCTTGTTTTTCTGTCTGTATGTGTTGGGTTCCTTTGGTCCTGTAGACCCGCGAGAACAAAGAGAGCAGAGAGATCAGCGTGTGCAGAGAGAGGAGACCTGGAACACTGTGCCTATGACAAAGAACAGCAGGACCATCGACCCCACTAAGATCCCAAAGATCTCGAAGGTGAGACATGCTGCCAAGGCTGGTTGTGGTCAAAAATAGGCTTCAGCTGGCGGATACAGCGCAACCAGCCTAATATGAGGAATACAACATTTTTACATCACAGTGTCGTTCAATTCGTGCATTTAATCAAACCCTCTCATGTCTTGATACGTTTTACTGCAAGGACCCTTAAGAGGAACTGCAGTCCATCAAACAGTTGAAACTGCTGTCTACTGCTGCTCCAAACAGTTTATTTGCTCATATGGCTGCATATCTGGTGGTTACAAATACATAAATTGTCATAAAATAGAATAAATCTTGGAACCAGGACAGTGTGTATGTGTGAGCACAGGAACATTCTTCTTTTAAATCATGTAAAAATTAGTTAAGCTGAAGATAAAATGACAAAAGTTGTGATGATAGGCACCCTGAAATTAAAATGAAATTTAAAAAAAAATTCCCCGGCTGCTCTACCAGTACAGTATTACAGTTTCAGGCAGTGTAGGTTTGCTGTACACTCTGACTGCACAGAGGTGATAGTGAGTGACCCACAGAGCCACAAAATGAACGAGGCGCAATTACTGATGTGACAGTGCGCATCAGTGAGTGCCACAAGCACAGTGTGATGAATGTCAGAAACTATTTTGCAGCGACTCTCACCTCTACTACTGCTATTGGCTGAACTGCAGGGTTCTGTTAATGCTGTAAAGCGCATACAGGTGTTTCTGTCACAAAAAAAATCACACATATTAGCTGTAATGTATTTTTAAAAATAATTAAAATTAATGTACAATCAATAACCTGGTCAGGATTTGCTGAGGTGATACAGAAGCGTATGATTATACATGATGTTAAAATCATAAAGGTGTACAGATAAGCATGTTTCCTGTCTGTGATATCATACCCTGATTATAAATATTCCCAAGATAATACTCATGAGAGGGGCGCTGGTGCACGTAATATACTCAGTGACTAATATGTGTTAATGATGTGACACAGACCAGACATTTAGTGGAGTTATTTGGCTATGAAAAGACCCCTTAGGTACCAGTGGATGTCTGACGTAGATGTCTCGATAAAAGCCTGTATGTTGCTGCTTCGGACTACGAAATCATCCATCCTGTCAACAGTTATCAGTGATGACATCAGAAATAACCACTGATTAAAAACCTATCACTGATCCCTGCCAGACCAAACACAACCTTTTGCTGTAGTATTTGTCACACTCAATCTCAGTTGAACATTGTCAGGTCTGCATTGTAACTTAGATAAATTGGTGTGGAAGCTTCTCATGTCCTGACAAGTTTGTCTCATGTTGATTAATTTTTTTTTCAATGTCAGTCCCACACTTGCTTACAGCAGGTTGTTGCCCTCTCTCAGTGGAAAGTTTACGTACGCTGCAGATAACTGTTTACGCCACATAGATGAATCTTGTGGATCATCTTAACTGAGCTGTGTAAACAAACTTTCCCAGTTTTCATCAGATCTACACTTTCTTTTTAAGGCTTTTCATGTTCAGCAGTGTATCCACTTTGTCCCCCTGCTGGATGTGTGAGGTACTGCTGTGCAACAACAGTCATTTCTTTCTTTGTCTTTTTGGAGCTCCCCCTGCTGGTAGCACTCTGTCAACCGTCACTGTTATTTGAACACAGAGGGAGGCACTCATTAACTCCACCTTTGAGTTTTTTCACTTAAAAAAAAAACTGTTTAGTACGGATACAGTATGATGGCTACTTTTAATTGTTTAAGAACTGAATAACAGTTGTGGCCCAATGCTAAAAAAGAAGCTTATGTTTTATTGCTGAGCCTGTTGAGAGCTTAAAGTGAGGGAGAAACGTGTCTGTAGATTTGAGTCTGGGTGTTATATTTCCTTGTCATGTTTTTTTTTACTATTGTGCCATTGTTTAAAGCAAAAATACTCAAGCTTGTGTTTTATGACTGATTCTGCAGCCTCAAATGGATGAGAAGATCCAACTGGGCCCACGGGCTCAAGTCACGTGGGTGAAGGGCAGCAGTGGAGGAGCCAAAGCCAGCGACTCGGGTGAGATGGCACAGAGTGAGATGAAACATCATTACATGAGCAAGATTCAGAGAAATGACACAGAACTGAGTACATGGCGAAAGCACTGTTCTTCACACAGTCCACGACTTTTCATCTTGTTTCTCAGAGGCCCATTCTCTAAATCAAAACACCAAAACTGATAAGTATAGACTTCCAAACTTGGCAGTTTTTCTTTCCAACATCCCTCATCTTTCTGTCTCTCTTAGTCAGCTGATGACGTGTTGACATTAAACATCTACTTAAACTGTTTGACAATCAAACGTTTTATAAATAATCGGGTATTATGGTCAGATTCGAGCCACAAACACTCAAGTTTAGACAACAGGATGTCCAACATGCTTCAAGAGCAGATTTTTTTTCAATTTTGAAAACACAGCCTGAGAAAGAGGTTCAATCCCTCCTTGCTTTCTTATTTTCGCACACATGACCAGTTGCTGGAATAGGAGAATGTGAATGTTAGATTGTCTGTTTGGGAAAGTCAATCAAATTGTCAGGAAGCTGTAGGGGAGTTAATTTCAGACAATGTTCAACCATCAAACGGACACTTTTTGAAACATACCTTGAGCCTTAAGTTTACGGAAGAATTTTTTTCCTTAAATTCAATTTAAAGTTTAAATACACTGACAAATTTAGCCCTCTGACTGATTTGAACTTAAATCTAGTCATCTGTGATCATTTCTCTCAGTTTGTTGGTTATATATGTTTTTTATATTATCCTGATTACAGAATTGTCACGGACAGCTGGTCTCAACCGTTACTCTGCACTGCAGTCCACACCCTCGCCTCAGCCCTCCACCACACCTCCACAGAATCCAGACTATGACTCCAGGAGACCTCTGGGAAGGTAAAAGGCAAATCTAGCTCCTCCTGATCATTGCTCTTTCCTTCTGTCGAGTTTGTCTTGGAGATCCTCATGCATAGTAGCATCCTGATGACTGATTTGTTTGCTTTTCCCTCCCGCTCAGCGGTCGCAGCAGTTCAGGCAGAGAGCGCAGTGAGAAACCCCTGATCTCAGGCCCGCCGGCGTCACGACCCGGACCCTTCGTCAGGGGAGGCAGTTCAAAAGAGCTGCTGGAAAGTCAAAGCCCAGAGGAGCCACGAAGAGACCGAGAGCGAGAGGGAGCTGAGCCCCGGAGACCGAGTGTCACGGAGGATAAAGCAGAGCCGGAGCGCAGCAGAGTCAGGGAGCCTGGTGAGGACATGCTGCACAGACTGGGCAGATGACATGGTTTGATTGAGTGAAAAGAAGTAAAAACAATTGCTACAGCAAACAGACATTAAGAAATGAATCTTTCTAAAAAATACTGTTACATTTTTCTGCATGTGCAGATTTTTCAATTTGCCCTGCTTTTCCTTCCAGATTGCTTTAAATTCTGATTTATTTTTAGTCAGCCTTGTGTGCCCAGCATTGTGAATTTGTGATTTATTAAAACCAGATCAGAGTAAGTTGGTGTTTATGGGGGATTTAATCAGAGCAGATCAGGAAAAGATCTAAATCTTCAGGCAGAGAGACAAAATTGTGACTCTTGTTTGTATGTTGACAGTGAAACCTGAGCCAGTGGTCCAGACCCCAGACAGACCTGCCCTGTCTGAAGAGGAGATTGAGAGGAAGTCCAAGTCCATTATTGACGAGTTCCTGCACATAAACGATTACAAGGTACTGAGATTCCAAAAATCAGCTTTGTGTAAAGCTAATAGCACCTGAGCTCAGCGATTTTAGGTGCTAAAGTTTTAATTCACATCAAACATCCATCCATTATCTATACACCGCTTAATCCTCACTAGGGTCGTGGGGGCCTGGAGCCTATCCCAGCTGACTTAGGGTGAAGGCAGGGACACCCTGGACAGGTCACCAGTCTATCACAAGGCTACACTTAGAGACAGACAACCAAGCACATTCACATTCACACCTACGGACAATTTAGAATCACCCATTAACCTCAACATGTTTTTGGACCTTGTGGGAGGAAGCCGAAGAACCCGGAGAGAACCACGGGAAGAACATGCAAACTCCACGCAGAAAGATCCCAGGTGTCCTCACCGGGACGTGAACTGAATCACATCAAGCAATGATTTATTAATTTATGATGAAGTCATTTACTTTTTAAATAAAGTATTTTTGAGGCAGTTTAGTCATTTTGCCTTCAAGCTTTAGGATTACTCAGGATAACTTAATAGCATGAAAACTATTTAGCCTGTATAGTTTGTTTCTTTAAGATGTGTTTATTGAAGTGCTGTGTATATATTTAGGAGTAATTGCTAAAATAATAGAAATTAGATGCATGTATTGTTGTCATCGGGGTTATTCCATCTCAAGTCAGCACATTCTTAGAACAATTTCTGCTTGACCATCTCTGATTTGCCTGAAAATTTTATAGCATAATCTATGGATGTTTATAAAGATATTAATAAAGACATTCATAAAATGTTATTTATTGTCTATTTAAAAATTGCCCGTCAACCCACTGTTATCGTGTTTTTTCCTACACTGAAATTTGAGGCTATGTTTAGATGACAACATCTCAGGAACTATTGAAGATATTAGCCTGAAATTTCACATTTCACAGATACCATTTTTAATATTTATAGTTTATGATTTTAGAAAAAACGAAAATAAGGCCCCAAATGATGTGAGATGGAATAAACTGAATCTGATCATACTCCCTTGTTTTGAGCAGGAGGCTGTCCAGTGTGTGGATGAGCTCGACTTGGGCTCTCAGCTGAACATCTTTGTGCACGTTGGGGTGGAGTCGACCCTGGAGCGCAGTCAGATCACACGGGACCACATGGGCCAGCTCCTCTTCCAGCTGGTGCAGCAGGGAATCCTGCCTAAACCCCAGTTCTACAAAGGGTCAGTTCACTTGCTTAATGACAGTTTCTGTGGATGGGAAGCTGACAGTCTGCATGCCACTTGTGTTTTTCTGCAAAGTGGGAATATCGATTGAAATACTTCTGCACATAATAGATATTCGTTTTACCCTGTTTAATTCCATCCAAACTGTTGCTTTCTAATGATTATATGGCAAAAGTACCTTGAACATAAGAGTCCGTTTTTATTTGGTGCAGCCTTATTGAGAGTTGAGTGGGAAAAGAAAAATTTGAAAGTGTTCTGCCTGTGGTGGTACACCCCCCTTATTTTTATTTGGTGTCATGAGCTCTCTGTCGCATGTTAAATCAGAAATGCAAAGATATTCGAAGATTGATCATTTTCTAGCTTTGATAAAGAATTGTAAAAGAATAGATCTGTTCCAACTTGTAGCCATCATGTATTGTATTTTAACAATCTGTGAATGCAGTTGAAACACATTGGTAACTATGAGAAAAACTGAATCTGTCAAGGTGAATCTGGGGATATACTTTTAAACTAGGCAGTCAGAGAGCACAGCACTCACATTCAAGGCCAATGCATTATCTTGCAATTTTAAGCAAAGTGATTGAGAGCAAAAGTAAACAGATTCTTCCTTCCCTCTGGCTCCACCTCTCCACCAAGTGTCATGCAATTCAGCTTGGATGTTTTTGTGTAATCTTGCAGACAGACAAACTGCACTGAGAGCATACTTCTGTCTTGCCTCGGCAGAGAAAAAAACATTGGTGTGAAAATACTGTAATTTCTGAGTAGGCCTCTAGGTTGTTTTTTTTTTTTCTTCCATTCAGAAAGGGTTGTTTTTCTCTTGTTTTGTAGAGGATAATAAAATATCAACCAGAGTGCTGTTCACTTCCCTTTCTGATGTATTTTTCTGTGTACTCTGCTTTTTTTATATATATGAAAAGAAAACATTATTAAGCATTGTGTCTTTGGTCTTAGTCAGTTTTGTCGGTTCATCCCAACATATTAAACACTCTCAAACAAAAAGTAGAACAAAATGGCGGATGACAAGCAAAGCCGATTATTTCACATTTTCAGTGACTTAAACGTTTTCTTCTTCTTGACTGTTAACTACAATATTTTGTGCTCAAAATATAGATGCTTGACTGCTTTTTGGAACAGTACCATGTCTAAGCACCGCTGCATCCTCGTCTTTTCTCAGGTTTGCAGACACGCTGGAGCAAGCGGACGACATGGCCATCGACATTCCCCACATCTGGCTGTACCTGGCCGAGCTGCTCAGCCCTGTGCGATAGGAGGGGGGCTTCTCGATGAGAGAGCTCTTTAGGTACTGAAATGTGTGTTTTGTACTCAAATCAAAGGAACAGGTGGTGTGCTTTGTTCACTAAAAAAAAGTCCACCTTTTTATCAGTTGTGCTGTAGTCATCCATCACCAACATTTTCACCCCTTTTTTTTTTTATTTACCACCACTTAATGTTCACTCTTTCCCGTGAAGAGGATAATATTAACTTTCAAAGTCACAGACATATTATTATTTGGTTAACTTGTTTCTTGGTTTGCTATGTTTTGCATGTTTGCTTTAAACAAAGCTTTCTATAAAAGAAAAAAAAATGCATACTTAATCTGTCATCTGTTTTTTCACAGTGAATTAAGCAAACCTTTGCTTCCTGTGGGAAGAGCCGGGATCTTAATTTCTGAAATACTGCACATACTATGCAAACAAATGGTAAGCAACACTTTGATCTGTTGTTACTTTTCCCCCCTTTATACATAGATTGATTTTACCTGTCTTTTATTCTGAAGCCGGTGGAGGGTAGTCACTAGCTCAATTGTAGATCCAATTGTACGCACTTAATGTGAAATATATATCAAGACTAATGATAGATTAAAAATATATGTTATTCATTGGTGGACTACAGTGGATTTTTTGGGATCATTCATTCACGTGTATATTCCTATTTAGTAACAATTTTTTAATGTAAATCCCAGTGAAATCTACCATGCTACTTCAAGCAGCCACACATCAACATTGAGCAGATTAGCTATGCAAAAGAAAGCTATTTTTTCTTTTTTCTTTTTTTTTTTAAATTGTAATATTTATTTATTCAGCAAATAAGTACCTTGCATTATATTTTAGTATACATCTGCTTTTTACCATGTCAAAACTGGATGAATGTAGCAGAAGACAGCTGTGATGTTGTCTTGTCTTGTTTTCCACAGAGCCATAGGACTGTGGGTTCTCTGTGGAGGGAATCTGGCCTCAACTGGAGCGACGTTCTACCAGAGGGAGAAGATGTCCAGGCTTTCATCTCACAACAGGTCGGTGATGCAGGTCTCCAATCAAGTTATGACATTCAGTACTAGAGGAAAAGTCAACATTTACCAGCTGATGTAGCACAATTTCTAACATCTTCCTTTTGTTTTTCTCATCGTATCCCGTCCTCTCATCTTCGCACCAACAGAAACTCCAGTTCGTTCAGTCGGACAGCTCCAGTCCTGAGGCGCCTTTGTCTAAAAAGATCTTGGCCCCCGAGGAGCTGAGCCGACAGCTGGAGAAACTCCTCTTGGAAGACATGGCCAGTGACGAGCAGATCTTTGACTGGGTAGAGGTATGAGAAGCAACATTTCTCTGGAGCAAACATCACAAAGACGCTCGTTTATAATTTGTTATTAACTGTTAAACATTAAAGAGTGGCATAAGAAACAGCCATCATGTGTGGATTTTTTTTGTTTGTTTTTCGTGTTGTTATTTGCCTTTATTTACTCCAGACAGTGTTACTGACAGCAGTGTCTGATACTCACACATTTGCACCTGGAAGCTGCCTAGTACAACGTCGGGTGTTGAAGGCTTTTCCTCAAGGGCACCTCAGTGGTGTTGTTTCACATTCCTACTCAGATTTCCAAAATGTTTACTTCTAAAACAGTGCTGGTGCTGATGGGAGCCACAAAATAACTTTTGAGTTGAAATGTTTTTTAGAGCTTAACCCATAAATCAGATCATTTCTGGATTATCGCAGATGTGGTGGCTGAAGATCAACAGCAGAGAAAAGCCCAACTAGTTCTGTGGTCAATTAAAAACAGAGGCAATGTAAAACTGAGTATATTGCTGGCCAAAGTAAAAAGAAACCCACAAATCTCAGGGATCCATATTAAGATTTTTGTTTATCTTATGTGTGTGTGTGCGTGTGCGTGTGTGTGTGTGTGTGTGTGTGATCTGTATCGACTTCATAAATCCACGCTATCATTTTTTACAGAGTGGAATTTAGTGCATCACAAATGAACTAGTAGATGTGACACAAGTCCAATGAGTGATTTTTATTTGACCTGCTATTATAGCAGCTGATTCCCCACAGGTGGGCAGCTGTGTTAGCACACTGATACCAGGGCTAGTGTTTAATGCCTCTTGTTTACCTGTGAAGTATGTTAAAGCAAGACACTGAGTCCCAATTACTCCTGTTGGTCAGACCAGCACGTTATACGGTGGCTTGCTGCCATTAGTGTATGTGTGAATAAAACTACAAAGCACTTTAGATAAATGTGCTACATCAATGTCCTTTTACCGTTTTACAGCTGTTCTTGCTGTGACTCAGACAGTCTAGTTCATAAGAGAGCAGAGCACCAGATCCTGCCTGGACAAGTAGCTGTCAGATGACTGGGTGGATAGCAGAGCGTAACAAGGCTGCCATGGTTGAAGTTGGAAAGTTTGTATGGAAGACATCATCCACAAAAAAATACTACACGGTGCAAAGAAAAATCATTGCAAACACTTTTCCTGTTGTATACACAGTTATGTGGACATGGAGGATTTCTTTTTACTACTCCACAGTCCAGGTATCCCACTTGTGTATCCTGAACAAGACATGGTGCTTCATTTGGCGCCTATCATGTTGTGTTTCTTTGAAATGGTTTCCTGTTCTTCAGCACCATCGCTGCCAAGCTGAGCCACATGACACTGACAAACAGTTTTGTTTCCCCCCCCACCCCACCCCCTCCTGTGCTCCATTTCCCAGGCTAACCTAGATGAATCTCAGATGAGCTCGTCTCCCTTCCTGAGGGCTCTGATGACAGCTGTGTGTAAGGCCGCAGTGAAAGGTAAGCACTCCAGCACCTGGAGGAGACACTTCCCCGTTCTGCTGAAGTCGCACCGCTGATTGCAATATTTACACTCTGCCAAACCCTGAGCGGAGCAGCTCGGCATGCTCTCACTCTGCCTCCTGCCTTATTGCACAGATGATAACACCAGCTGTCGAGTGGACACGGCCATCATCCAGAGGAGATTGCCTGTATTACTCAAGTACCTTAACTCAGACACTGAGCGACAGCTGCAAGCACTTTATGCACTTCAGGCGCTGATCGTTGCCCTCGATCAGCCTCCAAGTAAGTACTGCATCATAGTTTACTCCTCCTAATGACTCTTGTAGATACAGTTTTCCTTACACCTTCCTTTTTTTTCCCTCAGTGATAACAATTGTGAAAACTGTTAAATCCATTTCTTAGCTGTATAAATGTAGAGAATGTAGCTGGTCTAAAGCTGATGATTGTGACACCTGATTTTCAGCAGCAGAGTAAGTTTGCATTGTTGTCAGAAGATTGCAGATGTCATTCTTCTTCTTCAGTTCTGGTTTCCAATTAAAACCCTTATGGCTAAATTTCGCCAATATTACAACTTGCCACTGTGTAGCATAGAGCAGCTTCAGTGTTTGAGCAGAGTTATAGGTGAGTTGGTGTGCTCTGGCTGCAGCGAGTGGGAAGGAGTGAGTCGAGTGAGAGGCAGGGACTTCGTGCACAGTCCAGAGGAAGCAACAGCGTAAAGTTTACATTGAAGACATTTTACCGAGAGAGTTTTTCCCAAAAAAAATGACTTCCAAATGTGGGATTTTGATACACAGAAATGAGTTTTTAGGGGTTTAATCAGTGACTGGAGAGGGAGTTTAATCACTTGAGGCATCATTACAACTTGGGCACCTTTGCATTCAAGCTACAGTCAGGTTCCTTATGAGTAATAAAGTGATTTAATCTACTTACAGAAAAAAGGTAGTTGTATTTTGGTTGTATGGACAAGCAGGTGGACAGTGCTGATAGTCGGTACTTGTGCACAATAAGCTGAATGCAGTGACATTTCCAGATTTCAGCAGAGAAGGTGAATTACAGCAATAAGCACAGAAGATCTGAAGGCAGATTTATTTTCTTTGTGTGTAAAACATGGAAAATATAGTGATGCTGCTATTGATGTGATGCACAACACATGCGTTTCATCGTGCTCTGAATATGTTTTATCTTGTTCTGCTGATTTCGATTCACATGTAATGAAAGTATTACTGAGCTGTAACACTTTTCCACAGTCTTCAGATTTGACACCAGCACGTTTAGCTTCCATCACAGTCGTGTAAAACAGGTCTGACAGGAGCTCTACACCGAGGAGGTGCTACATTGCACAGAAAGTCTAGTACAGCTCATCAACATTTTAACCATACCTGACTGCTGCACACACTGCATATCACACAAGCTTCACATGTATTTCAGCTTTGTGTGCCTAATTTCATGTGATGAAAACCTGTCAGAGGGCAGCAGGCTGACGGTTAAAAAAAACTCCCTCTGTCTTGCAGACCTTCTCCGGATGTTCTTTGACTGTCTGTATGACGAGGACGTCATCTCGGAGGACGCTTTCTACAAGTGGGAGACGAGCAAAGACCCTGCCGAGCAGCAGGGTAAAGGCGTGGCCCTCAAGTCTGTCACGGCCTTCTTCACCTGGCTGCGGGAGGCGGAGGAGGAGTCGGAAGACAATTGACGAGGGAGACACCCGGGGACACGACGTAGTAGAACTGCATCCTTACAGTAGAACAAACTTTCAAAATGGGTGCGTGGGCAGGACGACATGTTTACGGCTGGAATTTTTTTCTGCGGTACGGTTCTGAAACATGCCGCCATTTTGAGTTTGGATTCCAACGGCGGAAGCACTAAATACCTGTATTATACATAGAAAATATTTTTGTTTTAAATTTTAACTTACTTTTCTTTTGTTACTTTTTAAGAAGAGACTTAAAAGATACATAGGTTCTGGACTCTTTAATTTATTATTTTTTTAAGGACTGCAAATATGAAAGTTATTTAACATTTGCAGATGCTCACAATGAGAACAAGACAACAAATAACAATATAATTAATTATGATAACAAAATAATAATTGTGAAATAAATAGCCTCCCTGGATTCCACACTGTTTGGTTTAAAACAGGGTAAAGCAAAATTATTTTGGGATGAAGGGGAAGCAGAGATTTAAAAAAAAAAAAAAGGAGTGAATGCACAGGAACTATTAATGTTGTCCAAGGTCAAAGGTTATCTTGTAATAACCACAAAGTGTTTCCCTCAGCCTTGGCTTGCTCTGCGTTGATTTGTACATACGCCTCATGAGAGGTAAAGGTATGCATTCAAGAAGCGATGCAAAGTCAGTCCACAGAACTGTCACACAAACGCAGACGAACAAACCGGATACATTCAGATGACATGAGCAAAAATGCAACTTTAAAAAGCAAATGGCCAGGGTCGCTGAACATGAAATGCTTGTAATACTTAAGACCTACGGAGCAGACTAAAGCTTGTAAATACATTAAAGACAAAAAAGGTATTTAAAAAAAAAAAACCTGCAGATTCTCATGATTTCTTCTTTTGGGTGTTGAAGGTGTTTACTTAATGTGTGATGTGTGCCTAATAAACTGAGCCGGTGTTTTCAGTTTTCCCATTTTGGACCAAGAAAAGCTGATTGATCTGACTGGAAGGAGCAGCTGGAGTCTCTGGAAGCCATTGATTTGGTCTGCTGAGCCCCTGGAGCATCAACAATCACGATGGATTAACCTACAATCAGTGTGCTGGCTTTGAAATTGTTGTGCTTCTTTTCTTTCTTGTGTCTGACACATACGGTCGTATTTATTTCACAATGTCAATGCAGTCACATGCCTATCTTATCACCAGATGTGGTTTGACTGTTTGGATCTCTTCGTTTATTAAGTTTTCTTGATGGATTGCCTTACAACCTAAAAAACACTAGAGCTAAAATGATTTAATCGATTATATCAATCAACAGAATTTATTGACATCATTGAAGTCTCTTTTTTTTCCAGCAAAAAAGCCAAATATTTTTTAGATGCAGCTTCCTAATCGTGAGAATTTTCTGCTTTTCAGATTGTTGATTGAACTAAATCATTGTTAAAGTCACCTAGCGCTTTAGAAGGAATTGAGAAAATGATCGGCAGTATGTTCTAAAATTATTATAGTTACTTGTGTATTGTTAGATCTGATTACTTTGCCAGCATTAGCCTCTTTTTTTTTTTCCAGGTTCCACTAATTTCTGGTTGTCAACGTGATTTTCTATGGAGAGTGTCATGTTCCTTGGTTAGCTAAATCAAAATACTCAACTTTTCTGGTAATATTCAAAGTTTAATGTGTCGTTTACGTCACTAATTAGCCAGTAATACACTTTTTCTATTGTTGGTATGTAAAAACTACAACTCCCATGAGTTTTCACCTTAGACATTTAGTTGAAGTCTCATCACTGCTGTAGTTTTTGAATGCAGATAAAGTAATAATTGGTTTGTCGTGGTTCAAGTAATGAGCGCTGACCATCTCAGTATTGCCTCTGAGCTTTTTAGGTAGAACACTAAAAAAAAGAAAAATCTTTATGAGTAAATACATTGTTAGCTAGCCTGTTTCCCAGTCAACAGAATTGACATTAGATGTATCTGCATTGCATTTCAGACTTAAAATATCAATAATTACATTTCAGAAATACCCATTGAGTATGAGAAAACTAACTCTAGACATGAAATCTGAATTCCAGAGTTCTTCATTAAAATTCATTAGTCAAAACTCAAATGAAAGATATCTTTAACTCAGCATTAATGTGGATATCTCAAACCACGGTATTACTAGCTTAAGTTGAATTACAAATATCTGTATTTGTAGTTATGACTAGTCAAAATTATGAACATATCTAGAATGTAAATTATTGCTAACAGGAATATACAAATGAAAAATCATCTAAGGAGATTGGGGAGGGGAAAAAAAGTTTTAATTGTCATTATACTTTGTATTTCTAAAACATGTTCGATTGTTCAGACTATTTTGAAAGGTCTGCAGTAACAATAGGAATTCTGACTGGTCAGATCCAACTTTGTTTGTCAAACTAATTACTAAGTAATAATTAATAAGTAGTATTCTACTTTATAGTTTGTTGTCACAGAACCATAAAAAATATTCTCTCTGTGGCTTATTTTGATTTTGATTCCTTACATATATTTGTGGGTTGATTGTTTGGTTTCTTGGTGTCTTGATATTTTAAAAGCCATTGCATGTTTTCTTTTCTCTCTTTTTCTTTATTTTATTTTTTAATAGGCATGAGGGTTTTTCTATCTTGTTCTCTTTTTTGTTTATTTTTGAAGCTTTTTGTTGCTGTTTGTCTTATTTAGTTTTTTTGTTGTTGTTTCTTATTTTTTTGTTTTCTATTAGGCTTTTTGTTGTAATTTTACTTAGTTGTTCTCAATAGCCAAAGTTTTTTTTTCTTGTTTTCTTTTTGCCCCGATAATATCTTTTGTGTTAGTTTGCGTTAGTGTATTTCTTGTGTGTGTGTGTGTGTGTGTGTGTGTGTACAGTTTGCTTTGTTTTAATTTGAAAGCCATTTAGTGTTCTGCTCTTTTTTCTGTCTTTTTTTTTCTTTTTTGTTTTTTTGACAGCCGTTACAGTGTTTTGTATTTTGCCATTTATTTATAACAGCGAACAACAGTTTTTCCTCTTGTGTGTCATTTTTTTGTATGTTTGTTGTATTTTTTTTCTTTTTTATTTAAGGGGCATGCCATTTTTTATTTTTTGTTTATTTTTTATTTTTTTGTCCGTTTGCTTTTTTGTGTTTTTCTACAGCGATTACAGCCTTTTTTTTTTTCTTTTTTTTTTTTCCTTCTTGAATTTTTGTTTCTTCTGGACAGCCATTACGGTTTGTTTCGTCTTTCTGCTGGTTCTCGTCGCCTCGGTTGTTTGCCGTTTTGTTTTGTTTTGGTTTTATTGGCCAGCCGTGACTGTGGGAATCCTTCGACGCACCGTGTGACGCTGCACGCTGCCTACCAACGGTCCTAACGGGGCGGGGCTCCTAAACAGAGAAACCGAAATAAAGGATCGTGCAGAAATCTACCCCAAAACATCTCACTTTCCCCAAACAAGTAAGAGGTAAGTTTGCTCCGCATTATGGTATAATGTTTGCTAAACATGCAGTTGCACAGATTCGATGGTGTAAATGAAAACACGGCTGGCCGGCGCTCTTTACTCCATGCAACTGAGATGAATTTCATCTGCCTTGTGCGACGCCATCACTGTGTGTATAAACCCACGGACAAAATGGCGAAATGGCAGAAATTTCGTGGCTGCTCGTCCTCCGGCTCGTATGAACGCGGTAGGAATGTGTCGGGGAAAGGCTGCAGGATGAAGCCGGACTGCGGTGTCGCCGTCCAGAAGGTGGTCTGCATTTTTTTTCTTTTTTTTTTTTGCGGAATTCAAACTGCACCTTTTCTCCACTATCACGCTGATAGGCCTCAATGAATGAAGTGGGTTTGGCAGCAGCAGCGCCATTTTTAACCACGCACGTACACAGAAACGGGCCTCGGAGCGGTGCCGTGCTAATGCCCAAAGCTCTTCTGTCTTTTTCAGGTAAATCTCCTGTGATGCCGATTCGCCGAGCTGCAGCCACTCCGACCCAGGAGAAGGCCCCCTCCTCAGGAGCAGAGAAAGGTGAGGTTGGGGTCGTCAGTCACCTCAACGGTGGACCCGTGAACGCACCATCATCCCCGTCTCAACTCTCAGGACACACTGGTCCACTTTTCACTTTTTCTCTGAGCACAGAACAAACACAGCTGTTGTTTAAGACAGTGTTTCCACAGTTCCAGTAGTATAGTAGTAACACCTACAGAGAGGTGTGTGTTTTATTTAAGTTAAAACAAGATTTTGCAGCATGATGTATTACACCTGAATTTAGCCTAATTGATCAGCTTCTCTTACTTTATTTATACTAGTTGCACATTTAGAAGTTACATTTTTGGGTTCAACTATAACAGAGTTTAACAACAGCTTCTCTGCACCATTGTGTCAAAAATGGATGGGGGGAGGGATGTCTATTATGCATGCACAAGTTCAGGTTTTATTCTTTCTACCTTATTTTCAATGGTTCCTCAGAGCCTGAAGCCTCCTCAGAAGAGTCGCCCTCTGCTGACGAGGAGCAGGTTGCATCTTCGGCCGCAGCAGCCGAGGGCGAGACAGCAGGCGACGCGGAGCCCACCGAGAATGGTGAGAAGGCCGACGAAGGAGCCGCTGCAGAGAAGGAAGGGGAAGGCACAGAGAAGAAAGAGTGAGTCTCACCAGAGAGATAATCTGCAAGTGTGAACACTGCGATATTTCACTCTGATAGCACTTTTATCTGTTAATATGATCCTTACCTCTGCTGGATAACAGCAGACTGCTGCTCTCGGGGTTGCAGTGTTGCATTTCCCAAAACATGTGACCTGTCTCAGGTGCATTCGTGTCCTGTATCGTAGCTGTCAGACAGATGTGCCCGCAGTCTCGGAGGAGTCCAGGAGGAGAGGACATTGGCATCGTGACTGTCTAATGATTTGTTAACACCTCAGTCCGTATTTTGAAACTCGAAGAAATGGCAGCGTTATCCACTTCAAGCTTCTCACATTTGTTTTGCCCACTTACGCGACAACAAAGTCACTTTCGGTGTCAGCGACTAGATTTTTTTGGGCCAGTAGCAAGTCTCATGGACTTTTTTTTTTTTTTTTTCAGAAATCACGGTAGTATGAGGAAAGTTTTAAATACTTAGTTTAGCTGTAGCTGTGGGGCACTTAACCTTGTGGTTTTTTTTAAGTTAATAACTTGTAACTTTGGTCCTCCTCCTTCTCTTCTCCCAGACCTTGACAAAGCAAACCTTCACCTTTTTGTGCACATGGATCACTAGCATTTCAGTTCAGTCAGGGTCAAATTTACCATGGTGGTCATTAAGACAGATGTTCTGAAACTTCATTTTGTCTTTCCCGTCGGTGACAATCGGACAAAGTGACAAATGCAAGGACTGCGCGGCTGGACAGTGCGCAACACACTGCTATGTTCTCCTACTAAGGTGAGGATGTGATAAAGATAAGGGTGGTAACAATCACAGTGAAATATCGCTTCTAGAGAACCGACTAGCTTCACTGAAACTTGTGCTTTGCTCCTTTTTTGGCGACAGGTTGAAGGACGGCTACAAGTATGAGAAATCCAAAGTGAAGAAGGTGAAAAGGACGATTCCTGCGTGGGCTAGTGTCACCGCCAGCAAAAAGGTTCCCGTTACCAACTTTGCAGGCACTCAGAACAAAGTGGATAACATCCTCATTGAAGCTATCACGGTGTGTGAAAACTTTTGCGTCGCTCGGCACGGCTGCCAGCTTAGTTGTTTTTGCTTGCTGTTTAAAGGGATTTTCTTGTCTTTGCAGTCTTGTAATGACAGATCGGGGGTTTCATACCAGTCGGTCATGAAATATATTGTGAAAAAATACCCGGGGATGGAGCTTGACAGGAAGAAGTTCCTTATCAAAAAAGCAATGAAGAAACACATAGAGAAGGGCACTATCAAACAGGTAAAGGATGTTATTTGTTTAGCTACTTATATGTTGGGATATAATCAGAAGCATGAGCTTGTTGCTTTGTGGAGTGAAATGTACGTTCTGTTTATTAAAATTTGTAGAAACCTCAGAAACATGTCAGCCCTGCTTACTACTGTTTTTCCTTCATCTCTCACACAGCTAAAGGGGAAAGGCCTTTCAGGAACCTTCACCATTGGGAAGCAGACTCCCTTGACTAAGGTATGTCACACGAGAGATGCTTTACTGTATCTCTGTAGGAAGCAGGAACTCCCTTGTTTGTTGCTTTGCTGCACCAAATAGCTGTTTTTATACTTGAGTCTTTGTACAGATGAAACTAATGGGGTATAACATGCTAATTCATGAGCTTGAGAGGAGCTGGGAGTTTGTTGCTGTCAGATGAAGTTGTGTTAGCAGGCTACATCCACACTGATACGGTTTCATTTAAACATGCTACTTTGTCATAGTAACGTGCCTTAAAGTTTTACTGTCGCCGTCTGTAGCATAAAACGAGCTGTCATCTGTCTGTGAGTTCCTGGCAGCTTAAGCTTGTTAATACTCACGCGAGACACTGTGATATATGTGGCATAACCGTACAGAGGATTGTGGGTCAGAACGGCCACAAAAGCACGCTGGCTTGCATGCTTCACAATCCGTCTGAATGTAGTAGGGACATCCCGGTGTATTTGTCGCACTACGTTTGATATGCTGTGCGTTGGGACATGCAAAATCTTTTTCAGGTGTATTATATGATAAAGTAGTGTGAATAAGACTTCTGGAAACAGTGATGCAAATGCTTCTGATTGGTCCTTACTGTCACTCTGTGTGTTGTATTTTCTACGTCTAACCAAACAACTCATATGTCCATTGATGCAAGCGGTCATGTGATATGCCCTTTTAGGTGTATTAGCACCCGCAGAGAATATTCCTGCTCATCTTGGCAATTTAATTTAAAATACGAACATATTGGCGTGGATGTAGCCTCTCTCTCTCCAGTCTCTGTGCTAAGCTAGGCAGCTCACTGTAGCTTCATATTTAGGTCATGAGCTACACTTTCATCTCCTCCATCCCTGATTGGACTGCAGTGTCAAGGGCTGAGGCATTTTCTATAGTGTCTGAGTAGTTAAATAGGACAAAGATTGTACTCAGGACCAGAATATCTTCAGTACATGATAACTGCACAACATTTATACTTGTGTCAAAGAAGTAGTGTCAACAGTTTTCTTCTCCCCATCTTTCCCTATGAGACTGGGACGTGTTTGGTTGTAATCGTCATGTCTGTAAATGGGTGGTGTTTTAGAAAGCCGCTCAGAAGCAGGAGTCTCTGGGAGACGCTCTTCCTCTCATCATCACTCGGCTCTGTGAGCCCAAAGAGGCCTCGTACAACTTGATCAAGAAATACCTGGAGCAGCACTTCCCCAGCCTCAACATCGAAAGCAGGTACAGCGCTTCACAGCTGACCGTTCCCCTGTTTTTAAGTCTGTAAACAGCCAGAGCTGCAAAAACTGATGTTTTTCATTACTAAGTCATTTATTTAATTTTAGCAAGTAACAGTTACAGCCTCCCAAAACATCAAACTTCAGAACTTTTGGCTTACTAATTCCCTTGTAACAGAAGATAGTTGATCTCATTTTGAAGTTTTTGTTCCGAAAGACTGCAAAACACATGAAGGTGCCCTACTTTTAAGACATGAATTCAAAGTAAAGCTCAATTACAGAATACATTATTGATTAAGTAACTGATTCGTCTTTAGGCCAGAAGTCCTGAAGTCAGCGCTGGTGAAAGCAGTAGAAAAAGGACATCTGGAGCAAATCACTGGGAAAGGAGCCAGAGGGACGTTTCAGGTAAACCTCATAACACTGTTTGAATTTGTTCCAAAATGAGTGAGACATACTGGTAAAGTGTCTATTAGCAAAAATTTATCTATCCTGGTGAAGAACAATTTGCAGTATTCTGCAAAGGTGGCCACTATAAACAAATAAAACTGACTCATTCATTTGCTCTGCATTTGTAAGCATCTAACAAAAAACACAAAAAGCTTACAAGATGCATTTTATTAAGAGGATAAAAAGCAAATCCTGCATCACATTTTATTGACTACCTGGTATTTCTCAGGTAGTCATGTAAGCAGTTGCATTCAGTTGCTGGTTCTTTGTTTTACTTGTTCGAGTGCAACAGAGATCTCATGTGTTAAAGCGTTCATATCTGACTGTTACAGCTCAAACGCACCGGCAACAAAGTCCTGCTGAAGGGCGGCGCCTTAGAAGACGCCATCACAGCCGCTATCACAGCCATGAATGAACCTAAAACCTGCAGCACCACAACTCTACGCAGATATCTAGTAGATGCCAACAAGGACAGAAAGGAGTACCAGTTAGGTAAGACTCCCGTTCTCTCTTTCTCTTTCTCTGCTTACACATCTTACATGTTCCTCACTTAGAATAGAATAGAATAATTTTTTATTTATCCCCAACTGGGGGAAACTTACACGCCACAGCAGCATCCAGAAATATAGAAAGAAAAGTACAAGAATATAGCAATCATTAATAATAATAGTATTTGCAGAGAGGATGTTTGAGTCTGCTGCTGAAGGAACTA